TCATCTCCAAGAATGGTATAGCGGTGGACCCAGAGAAGGTGACACGGATCATGGAGTTACCTTTTCCGGCGACTTTAACCAAGTTGAGGCAATTCCTTGGTATGGTGGGGTACTATCGACGGTTCATCTTGTCCTTCTCCAACAAAGCTCATGCCTTGACGAATTACATGAAGAAGGGAGTGGAGTACGAACTCATTTTCAAGGATGAAGCTGCAAAGAAGGCGTTCGAAGTTCTCAAGAAGGCGTTGGTGACGGCTCCAATTTTGGCGAAACCGGATTGGGGTAAACCTTTCATTCTCTACACAGATGCATCAAATATTGCTGTAGGATGCACCTTGAGTCAATTAGATGATGAAAAGCATGATCATCCAATTGCCTATGCTAGTAGACAAATGGTTCAAGCGGAGAAGAATTACTCAGTGACAGAGAGAGAGGCCTTAGCTGTAATCTTCTCACTTAAGAAGTTTCGACATTATTTGTTGGGTGGGAGATTCACTATAGTGACTGATCATAAGGCTTTGAAATACATTTTCAACAAGCCTAATGCTGAAGGGAGGATAGCTAGATGGAAGCTACTACTAGCAGAGTTTGATTATACCATTGAGGATAGACCTGGAAAGAAGCATGCTAATGCGGATTTGATGTCGAGAGCATATGATGATGGAGGAGATCAGTCAGTAGATGACACCTTTCCGGATGAGGACTTGCTAGTCATGGACACGGTGACAACAGTACCGGAGGAGTACAAGGAAATTTGGGATTTCATCTCTAGAGGAGAGTTTCCTCAAGGAATGCATCAAAGGGAGAAAAATGCATTAGTGAAGAGATGTCAACCTTATATGATCATGGAGAAGGTACTTTTTCATCAAGGAGCTGACGGACTTCTACGAAGGGCGGTTGGGAGAGGAGAGGCACTACAACTCATGAAGGAGTTTCATGATGGTGCAGTATGTGGAGGACATTTTGCGGGGAAGGTAACTGCCTTCAAAATTCTTGATGCTGGTTATCATTGGAAGGGTATTTTTAAGGATTGTGTGGAATATTGCAAAAGTTGTGATGTGTGTCAAGCTTTTGCTAAAAAGTCCATGAAAACCCCTCCTATGATTTCTGTACCAGTGTTAGGTCCTTTTGAAAAGTGGGGAATAGATTTTGTAGGTCCTTTGAATCTTACTCCTCGAGGGAATAAGTTCATTGTGATAGCTACAGATTATCTTACGAAGTGGGTAGAGGCAAGACCACTTAAATCTACTAATGAGAAGGAGGTTGGTAGATTTTTATATGAGAGAATCATTACTCGATTTGGTTGTCCATTGGAGTTAGTATCAGATAGAGGAGGAGAATTTGTGGGAAGTATGATTCAAGCCATGTTGGAGCACTTTTCCATCAAGGCTCGAGTAACCACTTCCTACAAACCTAACGCTAACGGGTTGGCGGAGCGGACCAACTACACTTTGTGTATGATGTTGGCCAAGGATGCAGACATGGACGGGAGTAAACACAATTGGGACAAGAGGCTCCATGCTATCTTATGGGAGTATCGCACAACATGGAAGACATCTACCGGATACTCACCTTTTCGGATGGTGTATGGAGTTGAGTCAAAACTTCCCATACAGTTTGACTTGACAACATTCACAACAATCCAGCAAAGGTTGAAGAAATCAAATGGAGCAGAAGCCATCAAGTCTCGCCAACAACAATTGATGGAGTTGGAGGAAGCTCGAGCATTAGCCATGGTACGAGTGGAGCGGGCTCAACAGTTGCAGAAGAAGTATCACGACAAACGAAGTGGAAACCAGAACTTGAAGCCGTTCAAGGAAGGTGATTGGGTGATGCTCTTTGATGCAATTAGATACAAGAGAGCTAGGAAAAAGTTTCTTCCTAAGTATTTTGGACCTTTCATAGTTGAGAAGGTGTGGGGAAATTTCACTTATGACATCAAGGAGTTAGGAGGACGTCACTTCGATCGAGTCAACCACGACAAGTTGAAGTTATTCCATCGAAGATCAGATTCTTTCACTCCGAGGGCGTAGTGAAATCTTGGTCCGGGGGTAAATGTAAGACCGGGTGTTGCACATATGTACTAAGTCTTAGAAGTGGTCAAGGGAATAAGGATGATTAGCCAAGGCATAGCTAAGACTAGCTAGTTATGACTAAACTAGTTAGTTATAACTAAGTTTATCTAGTCATGACTAAGTTTAGCTACAATGTCTATAGTTGGCGGAGTAATTAGCGGAGTTCTAGAAGAATGGAGTGAGCACTTCTATTTTGTCTTTTACAAGGAGTGAGCACTTCTATTTTGTCTTATACAAAAGTTCTAGATTCCAAGGGATTAGATATTTGACTAGAAGCTTGGATTTGATTGGTTTGACTAAATGTATGAAAGATGATTGGCTAGACTAAGTCTAATGTTGACTTAGTGGCTAGGAAGCTTGTAGAAGTTTAAAAGCTTCCAATGGCATGTCGCCACCTCAACCTTGGATTCCGGAAGCTTCTAGAAGGTTTAGGTAGGCCAATGGCATGTTGCCACGTAGAGAAGGTTAGTCAAACTTACCTAGGTAAAAGTAAGTTAGGAGAAATTACCACATGTTACTATGGTAACTTCTCAAGTAGTATAAATAGAGAGGTAGAGTAGCACCTCTCAAGCAAGTTTGGAGAGTCATGTGTGAGGACTTGTTTCAATAATGAAGGAGTGAAGTTTTCGAGTATCTTGGAGTATCGACGTGTGTTTGCGTTTATGTGAAGAGGGTGATGTGAGGAGAGTTTGTGTGTGTGAGTTGGAGTGATACATGAGAGTTTGTGAGAGAAGGTGTTTGTGACATGAGTGAGAGTATGAATCCTAGTCTTCTAGAACCATGATGCGCTACCACAAAGCCATCAGAGGTAGACCTGAGTGAGAGTCAGCCCGGAGGTTGCAGTACCCTGTCATTGAATCCAAAGACGATGAAGCTGAACCAACCTTAGCCCATGATGATATTGATAAGCGCGATATTATCCTTCAATCTTTGAGATATTTGCTTGATGGTATTCCATCTAAACGTAAATTGCTTGATGGGACTCATCAAGTTTCAATTTACTCGATGGGACCCCACCAAAAGTCTGCCGTCGGTGACTTTTAATAAATGTTATAGTAAGAATATGTTTTAATTTGTGTTTTTGCGATGGCTTTGACGTCGTGCCATTGGAGTTTAACAAATTGGATATGCTCTCGCATGCAAAATTTGTCGACCCAACCGAATTTATCAAAGCTTATGGACATTAAGGGTTGCACTCGCGTTTCAAAATCAATCTACGCTAGCACACTGAATCGGAAAAATCACTTTTGGATCTGGAAATAGTGATATGATATACAATGCAATGCCACTGTCAGTACATCTTCCACCTCCTGTTATCATGAGTTCTTTCGTCAAACCATCAAATTTCTGCTCCAGCAGATATACAGCACTAGACTACCACAATGAAAATTTTTGCTCACATGAATTGATGTGGATAAATTCATCCTTGAAACAACGGTGTGTTCTTAACGAGATGATTTGACGGTGACGTGTACTTGTGAGGTCCCATCGGTTAAATTGAAACTTGATGGATAACATCAAGCAATTTACGTTTTGATAAGGGCCCATCAATCAAATCTCTCTTCAATATTTAGAGAGTGCAATCAGCCTAGAAGTCAATATGAATGAGTTGAAATCTTCGTCATATTTGTCATCTGATCATATATATCAAGCCAAGGCGGCACTATTTGACCTCCACTGCATTTTACAAACCGGCCGGTCCGCGATAGCTAGGAAGCAAATTGAAAATAGCTGCCAAATGACTTTATTTGATATTCTGTAAAATACACTATTGAGAATATTGGTCCTGTAATTTTGCGTTGTGAAATGTTAGCATAATCGGGATGAGGACTTAAGCTAGGGTGTGCTTCACAAGCATAGACCCCCTTTTAAAGTTTTCAAGAGGTAAGCACTCAATACTATCGACTCAAAAATTGAACACTAGAAAAGCATATAATCCAACCAGATGGCACAAATTTGGAATGGGACACACTTCTAAGTCGGTACCATTATGTTCACTTCTATCACCACCGCCTACACTTGCTGAGGACGTGACCATTTAAAATTCCCAATTTTCCGGGCGTCTTCTACAATTCAGTTCGATGTTGGGCTAGTCCCTCCGCAGATTTTGAGTACCATATAAAAAATGACAGTCCGAATGAAATGATCAGTCGAAATGAGGAGCCCAAAGGAAGCATGGGATGCAAACCAGAAGAGCACACGAAGGACAGAGCATCGCCGGTTCGTTCTGCAAGATGAGTTTTGGTCTAAGTATTTTGGCGAGTTGTCTTTCTTTTAGCGCAAAAATAAGAATGAGAATTTCTTGAAGTTGTCAAAGGAACATCAATCTTTCAATCTAACGAGTTTAATTTTGATATAATCAATGTAAGGTTTTTAACGGGGATCAAGTATTATGGCCAAAAGTACGGGAAGACCCATCAAAGCATACAGCGATGACACCAATCTTAGCCCTTTAGTGGTATGGAGATTCAGAGTGATAGATTGGTATCAAACTGTCGCCTCTCGTGATCACTGCTCGACCACACAAAGCATGAAAAACCCAAAACCTCATTGACCGCGGAGCCTAACCAAATTCTGCGAACTGAGCATCGGTGGGCATCGAGCTTGGGATCCTCGCACGTCACAAATTGCAACCTTACCCATGAGAATCTTCTTCCGCGAGAGCAGTGAGTTCAGTTTCACTTTCTGCATGGATGCAGTGCATAGTGAGGCATAGCATATTTCCGGAATGGCACCTCAAATTCCATCGGGTCCAAGAGCTCCTTCAGCAACAGAACAAGAGCATGAAAAGCGATATATACAAAGATGGCTCCTTGTGGCTAAAAGTCCAAGCGTGATCCTCTGAGGCAAACCATCGAGCTTCAAAACTCGGATTCCTAATCGAGGACGATCATGGTCCCGAGTGTGTCTAGCCTGTACAAAAGCCTCTACAGATTCAGATATTGACAACATCGGGCATGAATATAGTAGATCTTTATTTCAGAAGAAGGAATCGATGATGAACCAAGCGCTGTCGGATCCACAGCCAGGCAGAAAGCAGTGACTTGGTGCAGATTGAATTACAGTCGGAGGAGGTGGAACTGAGCAAGAGATTATGAAACAGGCTGCTAAGTTTCTTGCTGTCCGAATCTCCCCTGCGAACAAAGCATATGACTGATCCGACCGACCAGGAGGCTATGTTACAAGGTCACTGACGAACGGACTGGCTGCAGTCCACTCTAGTCAGTCGTACAATTTCAAATCATCGCTGTGGGTGTGGGTGTCTTTTATTGAACAGGCTCCTTCTTCTATGATTCTCGGTTCGCTCTTGCATTGAGAGTGGACTGGACTTCGGGTACACGGTGTCTGAATGTCGAGCATGCCAAAGAATGATGATGCCCGAGATGAACTGCGAATTGTCAGGTGATAAATCAGGACACTGAATTGTGGGATCGCGGCTTTTCGTGCACTAGCAGATATCTATTCAGGGCTAGAAGGCAGTAGGGAGCTGATTTGAATGAGTCATCTCAGAGTCCCAGAGAGTTGCTGGGTTATTACTACTGCAATGAAACGCGTTGGGATCCATCTCGGCGTGGTCTCCCAGAGAATCGCCCAAGGGCTGAAGAATCTCCATGTCCCACGGCGACAAGACATCTTCGTTGAACAACATCTTCTGGAAGTTGGGACAGTTCGTCGATGAAATGTCAGTCGCCTCTTGGTACCGCTTGCGGTGATCGGCGCTCATGTCTAAGGAGTTGACGAGAGGAAGGCTCGTGGAAAGCTGTGCCCCCCACGCCGCTGCAGCCGGCACCGGTTCATACGAGGTCGGCGTTCCTGCACAGCCATGGACCACAAACATCTGAGATCAAAATTCTTCATAGCTCTCGTTCCATCTTCCCTCCGTCGTTTGCAAACACATGAAATGAAATTGCTCCCAAATTGGGCCTTCGGTGCTCTGAGAGAATTCGGTAAAGCCGCTGGAAGATCCAAATTTCAGCTTTCTGAAAAGAATTATAGAAAAGAATTCACGTGAGTACGATCCTGCAGTGACTTGCTCGCTAATGGGCCCGGAATCTATGATCGAATGTTGCCGTCATAGGAACAGAAGGGCCCCAACAATGATCCGCATGCCTGGGGATCGAAGGAATTTTTACCTCTGTCGACTTGTAAAAATCCGCTGCTGGCGGTGGATTCACTCGTGAGAGATGGACTTTCACCGAAAGTCATCCCACCGAGCGCTTGTTTGTGATCGAAATCCGAATGGCTTGTGGTGAAATCGGTGAGTGCCTGCGAGCTCGGAGACTTCTCCCTGTCAGTGCTGAGACTGCAATGTTGCAGAATGCTCACAGGAGAGCAAGGCGAGAGCATGGAGAGGCTTTCGGATTTGTCCAGAGACATGTAGTTAGACCTATGCGAGATTGGTGCAGTTGCTGCAGCTCCTCCTCCTCCACCACCGCCGCCGCCGCCGCAGCCTCCGCCTGTTGCAGCGCTGCAATGTTCTCTGAGTTGTGGCAGCGCTTGAGATTCGGCGTAAACGGTATTATCTCTAAGAAAACTCTCGACCAAAGCCATCGTCTGATAGCTCTCGTCTTTCATAATACATTGCGGCATCATGGCGCCATTCAATTCGGCCTGATGAGCCATCGATAGACTCTGGAACGTCTTGCAATTGGGCTTGATTGCAGCAATCTGCTGTTGAGGCGCGAGTGTGCAGCACGGACTGACGTTCGATTCCTGCGATATATGGCTCCCCACTGCCATGGCCGCCTGGCTCAGTGGACGATGCGAGTTCGGATCGATTCCCATACTCCTCAGCTTCTTCTTCAGATGAGTATTCCAGTAGTTCTTTATCTCATTGTCTGTCCTCCCTGGCAGACGTCCAGCGATAAGAGACCATCTGCAACCAGGAAATTGCGGCCAAAATACACTTTCCTATCAGCCTTGGTTTCCATTCCTCCATGAAATTCATGGAAGCCAAAATGAACTCTACCACAACAGAACAGTTCTGACTCTCTTTCGAGGAGAGCGAGTAGCATCTGCATGATCTACTGACCTGTTCCCGAGCAGGGAGTGCAAGGTGATGATCAGATTGTCCTCTTCTTCGGAAATATTTCCGCGCTTTAGGTCTGGACGGAGGTAATTGATCCACCGCAATCTGCAACTCTTCCCACACCTTAACAGGCCTGCATTCATTCAATTCGATCATCAGCATGGGTGCACGTGAATACCAGAAACAACATCCTGCTTCACACTGAGACGGTTCACGCGAGTACAGAAGCTTCCTCTGATCTTTACTGAACAATACTGGTGGACATGCTTTAGGCTGGGCCGGGCTATACGCATGCCGAATTTGACGGTGAGCCCAGATCTCACCGAGTGAGAGCCTACTGCGAAATTCGAGCTGTATGCGCCATCCATAGAGTCATGAATCCATTGGTAACCGGATATCAATGAGGGAGGAGCTTGTGCGTGAAGAGAAATTCTATTTGTTCTCCTGGATCTGCAGATCCAGGAGAGATTTTTGTTACAGGAATTGACCACTGCTCATTATTCCAATTGTTCCGGGCATCCTTGACAGAGAATTTACAGATAATCCATATAGAGTCTCGTCTGTCACAGATGAAACATTCTAGCTTTTCTCCGGCTTCTGCCCAGCTTTAAATCGGCTGTGACGGTGGCAACCTCACCCTCCCGGATTGCTTCATCTGTGTCGGCTCGCAAGCCAGAATTCTGCATGCTCACCTGCGTTTTTAGGAAGCGTTCGCCAGCAACCTTCACCGTGTTTGGAGATGTAATCAGTGAGCTTGAGGTCCTCTTCTCTCGTCCAAGGTCCTCTATTTAGCCCAACCTTCTCACAACACGGAGCTCGTCCCATGGTTGCCGCGAAGTCTCTTAATTTTGACACCTATTGGATTGGCTCGTTCTATACAAGGTTGAAGTTCCGCCCGAGGACCCCGAACTCTGCGATTCAGATTAGTCCAACTTGCTCGTCAGAATCTTGCTGCATGTACAGAGGCTGTTTCGAGCGTAGTTTCTGTGAGGCCTAAACAGGGCACAGGTCGGAAACGAGGAGAGCATGTATCTCAATTGGACGCGATTTATATAAATTTACTGAAATGTAAGAGAAGTTGCAATGTGCTAGGACAATCCATTTCAACAAGAGGATTCAGCCGCATACTGCCTTCAGAAAGTTTCAAAGCTGAACATCTACCGTAGATGATGTACCAGGAGTTGCTGCTGGTAGTGCGCCGAATGACTCTCCGGCATTGAGCTTGCACATTCTACTTGACATCTGCTTTACACTGAGCTGTCATTCAGTTCTCGATCGCGAGTGGACGGTGGATGCTCTAACTTCCCTACAGAAGTAGCGCTACATGTCCTCGTCGAAGATGAGGCGAGTTGCTGCTGAAGGACACGAGCTTTGCTGGGGGCAAAGCTCTGAATTGCAACCCGAGCCCAGTCGATGAGAAGAAGAAGAAGAAGTACGAGACGGACGAAGAGGGACCCGAGTCGAAACGATGATGAGCACCGTGGGTATGCCCGCGGAAGAATGCGAGCTGAAGTGCGCGAATGATGATATAGTAGTAGTAGTAGTGATTAGCCAGACGCTGGGCGGAAACAGGGTGTTCGAGTCTGCGAGTGAAGGACCACGAGACAGTAATGCTCGAAGGTCGGCGCACTAGTGAGAGACAGAGAGAGAGAGAGGAAGAGGAAGAGGAGGAAGAGGAGGGAGAGGGAGGGGGAGAGGGAGGACAAGCTCTCCCGAAATGATCTCAAACAAAGGTCGAACACCGCTCAATCAACTACTTCACTGGATACAGAATACACATCAGAATCACTGCTTCACATCACATGGCACTGCATAACTCACTCACTGACGCTCTTACTATTCCAAGTCAAAATGCAATCAAACTCATGGCCTCTTCCAATAATTTATTCACATTCGCTTTTGTCTTCAGCTCTAGTGCAGACTCTCTCTCTCTCTCTCTCCTTCGTCCCCGAGTCCCTCGCTGCAGACCGAACAGAGCAGAGCACAGCAGATCAGAGGCATGCGGACCGAAGCAGAAGCAGCAGCAGCACCATCATCATCATCATCACCTCCATCATCAGTATGCGCCATGAGATGTGTCTCTCTCGAGCTCTCCTCCTCGTCTCTCGAAAATCACGTGCTCCAGAGTTGCCGACACTTCCATTGACGCCCTCTACTCATTTGCGCCTCGCTTCGACTGTGTCAGCCTCAGCTTCGGCCCCCCCCACCCAACACGCCCTGCCCTGCGACGTCCGTCCCCGGCCTGTCTGTCCGTCCGTCCGCTCGTTCGTTCGTCCGTTCGTTCGCGTACTGCGAGCAATCGTTACGTGCATGCATTCGGTCGAGCATCGCCGACAAGTGAGCAACGTGACCGCACATCACGTGCACTCAGCTGCCACGTAGACTTAAATAGAGGGCTAGCGCTTCTAACGTGATTTTGTCGACTAGCTGTCGCGGCATGAATGACGTCGACGACTTTCGCCGGCCCTTTTTGTCTGTCTCTGCTTACCATGCTCGCTCTACGCAGTCTGTCAACCACGTTCTTCTTCGACTGCGAACCACGCTCCCGCTCCCGGTCGGAACCGCATCCGATGAAATCCAATCCTCGTTCGAGATTTTATTTTTGATGATTTTTTTCCGATGATTTTTTCCACTCTTTTCATCTTTTTGCTGCTACCGTGGTTAGGATCGTCCAGTTTGATCCAGAGATTTAATGGGGTTCGTTATTATTTCATGGCTACTGCGCTACTCATTCAGCTCCGAGGTGAGACTGTACATATATAGCGGGGAAATGATGGTCGCAGCACCCTTCATTCCCAAGCTGCTCACATGTCTGCACTGCACTGCACTGCACTGCCACTCGAAATGTGGAAATTCTTTGGACCCAAGGTGTGCATTCCTCCTCACATGCGCTCTCTGCTGCGGTGATGTGAAGGGATAACAGAGCTCGGACTCCCTTACCTGCGTTGTACGTTGCTTCTCTCTGCGACTGCAAATTCCCCACAGGCGAGTGCAGGCGCCAGTTCCAGAGCAGGACAGTACTGCTGCAGTTGAGTAAGATTTCACACTAATGCTCACATGTCACCTCCGTCCCACTTTCATTTTTCCGGTCCCTTCCGGGACTCCTATCTGGAGTGACATATCGATTCTCCACACCACCCACAAATCCATCCATGCATTTTCTAATTGAAGCCGGCTTGGCTCCAAATCATGCTTTTGGCTGATTGCGTGGGCGTGGGAAACTTGGGGAACGGCATCGTGCTGTCCGTCCCTCAGCTCTCCTTCTGTTCCTCCAGCCTGTGGCTGCTTTTGGACGGGCTTTTGGTTCTCCACCGATCCTTTTTTTCTCGCTGTCACCCAGCAGCATCTGTCTCATATTTTAGAATAATGATCGTATGTGAAAATCATTCTAGCTTAATGTAGCCTTTTGCCGAAGAAGTCATAAAATGTCAACTTCATGTGAATCTACGTAATATTATATTCTTCTGGTTTCTTAGGCTTGAGTATATTTTCTTAGGGCCAATCGGTGGGAAACAAGAGAAACAAGGGTACGGAAGGTGCGGAAGGGCACCACGAGGAGTATCAAACATTATACACAGAACCCAAGGACACTGTTCTTGGGTCCAGACAAAACCGAACTGGAGCCCTGCGCAGCGCTTTACTATATTGGTCAAGATTGGTTACTGGAAAGTACTACTCCAGAGTGCAGTTCAGAATTGAGCTCAAATTCAGGTCTAATTATGTGACAGAAATTTCACGTTGTCTTCATTCTTATACTAGGATATGATCATCATTAGAAGAAAATTTCTAGACCTATTCTCCATCGCAGAAGCTGAAGGAATCGATAAGCTCATAAAATCGCTAAATGATAAAGCTCACTCACGCATCCGGTTCAACGACAAGATGATATGATCCAAACCAATTTCCTGACCATTCTCAACGCGCAAAGAGCAACCATTGAATTGCTGGAGAAGGGAAGCTTTCACAACTAGATTATATATTTGTCATGGCAACAATCAGATTATTTGGTAATTCAAATGTAAACGAGGAGTATACGGTTCGGAGAGGGCATGTTTCCTATCCCCAATAATAATTGCCATTTGGAGAATTAAAGAAAGACAAGACATTCAACATGCGTCCACTTATATGAAGCTGGAGTCAAGTTGGATTTCAGAACAAGACATGTCAATTTTTAGGAATCTTGGCAGGCATCGCAGTCATAAAGCTGATTGCAGGTTAGTTGATATTGTGTTTAAGAAGAATAAAATGGGTTCTCGAGAGAAGAAGAGTGGAATTTAAGTCTGGTAGCTAAATAGATTGGCGAGGTGAACTTAAACAAACCGCAATTAAAATTTACATACCTCAGCTATACCAAACTTTGAAGCCATACTCAGTATGTGGTTGTCCGAAAAGGATTCGTTTTAGGGCCCGTGTGATAACTCACTGCTGGTGTAAATTTATTGCAAACTGTATGTGTTGGATATCTTGGAAATTTGTTTGATGAGGGGGCCCTTTCTATATTGTGGAGGAATATGAGCACAACTCGCCATAAGTTTGACATAGAATAAATATAAGAAGAGTAGGTTGCGTTCGTTCGGGATGAGAAGATATCACTCGTACTATTATTATAAGATATTATGGTATTTAATAATCGCATCTAATCCTACATTAAGAGCCGTATGATAATATTCCACCGGCAGCACAGCGGAGAAGAAACAAGTAACCAAAATCATAAAAAGAATACGACAATGAGGATCCTAATGATTTTCAGGGTCCTGTGAGTGACTTTATTTAAAAAAAATACGTTCCTTTCTGGCGATTGTATTGGAGTATGAACAAACTACTCTACAAGAAACTTCAATAGCCATGAGAAGAATGAGCCATAGGAACACATCTTCTCTTTCGTTCCCCTATACTCAAGGACATGTATTATTTGCAAATATCTCTTATTGAGTATCAGCGGAAATATGATAATCACCATTAGTTTTTTTAGGATTAGTGAAATCATCTTGCACTAGTATCAAACAGAATCTCGTTTTTTAGCCCTTTAAGCATGTTAACTCAAAGATGAAGGCCTAGGATCTTGGGTTTTCAATTCCGTGTGATTGGTAATTTTCATTTATGGCTAATGACGCATATCAGCAAATGGACCCAAATCTCAAGGTTTCCTGCGTATTATTCCTCCATACCCAGGATATGAAGCAAGTCCAGAAAATCCAAAAAGGGCCACTTGTCTTCGGGGAAGAGCAACCGACTTAAAAATCTTGCGGATTTTTTTTGGCTAGCATGCAACAATAATACTGCTAACGAAGGATAAAACACCGGGCGTGTACTTTACTCGTGCGCTTTGCATGCCACAGAAATGATGAAAGATTATGTTATAACCAGAAGAAAAATAATAATCCACCAGTTGAGTTTGAATTGATGGTTGAGAACGAGCAGGGGCATGGCATCTTCTCAGAGACTGGCTATAAAGCTATAATTCATTTGTGAAAAGGTTGATGGGCCGAAGGCGCTGAGTCAGAGAGAATTTCATCGCCGGTCAAAAAGTGAATTATCACGTCCACAGAATTTGAGGTAGCTGCGCATGCAACAAAACCGCATCCGTCAAATATTCACGTTTCATGACACAATAGACAACACCCATTCGACACAGGAAGCTGCAAAATATTCATCCTGCTCTCTCGGAAAAATAAATATCAAGAGGAGGCTGATCAAGCGGGATGCTCAATGCGCTTTGTTTGCATTGACCATTCATTGGAGCTTGCTTGAAATTATAGATTTTTTCCCAGCAGCGGAGTAGATGATCTGATTTAAGAGTCGAAGAAGACCTGAGAATGGCAAACGTGAGCCAGATCGAGCTGCAGAGAGATATATAGAGAGAGAGGGCGAGCAGAGGGCTTAGGAAATGATCCGGTGGCAAGTCTGCAGATATGATGATCGCAACATAAAGACCACAGACGGCGATGACGAACGAACACGGTTGACACGATGGCCAGGCACACCCCCATAGCCCAACAAACTCCCCAGCTTTGTCCGAAACTCCGTTGTACGTGAACGAAGTTGCTCGATCGCATGCATGGCCGGGGATCTCTCTCCTTCGTTCGTTCAATCGAGTCCCGCAGCGGATCCGAGCCAGGGAGAGGAGAGGAGAGGAGGATGAGTAGGTCAGCACGGGAGGACCGCCCTCGGACCTCTGATTTCCATGGGTCATAATGCCAAATTTCAACGCCGTTTCAACGACAGATATTAGAATCGCTAGAAGCACAATATTGCGGGTGGGACCCGACGAGCTCTTTTTCGTCTCGTCAAAGCCAGCAGTATTTTTAGGTGCTGTAACCTGGCCTTATTCTAACTTGGGTTGGTTGGCTCTCACCAGCTTCTCGATCTCTCATCATCATCCTATGGCTTGCATGCTCGTGGTTATGTTTTGACCCCAGTCCCAAGCTCGGCACATGAAATCCGACACGTTCATGATTCTTCATTACCCGAAGGCAAATCATTTACCGAGCGGATTTGGAGCAATGATTCGATGGCCTTCTTTACGAGCGATTGATTCACTCCTCTGAAGCTCACTCTCGTCAATCAGAGGTTCATCAGAATCACGTAGGTGGAGTGGGGACACCGGGTCAGCTTGGACCAGCCTCAGCTTGGCTGCCAGAACGATGGATAGATAAATGGATGCCTTTAAAGCTGCAGACTCAAGCTAAAGCTTTTGTGAGACGGAGAACGATGTCAAGGTCTCTTCGGAACATTCTGACCTTCGGGCTGTTCAACCTCAAAAGTACAAACAAATCTGCAACGAATCTGGAACGGAGACTGTTTTCGAGCAGTGAGAAGCAACTGCGATGTGGGCTCTCGCAGCAAACAGATGAATTGTTCTTGTTTGTAAATGGCATGGACCATGGCCAGAGACCGAGTCGGCGTTGTCAACCGCATCGTAGCTCCAACTTCATGCTTCTGAAAAATTCTCAGTCGAGGGAGCTGGAAGTGTTCTTCGATACTCGTTGAATCGAGGCACAATGAGTACAGAGACCAGTCAGATATCTTCTCACTCGGTGATAAAGAACCCTTGGGAACTACGGTTTTTTATGAGAACATTCCCTTGCAGCAACTTCATGGCCTTGACTCCCGAGTTTTGACGCTCATATGCGAATCGGAATCGAAGACAGAAAGGGAAAGTCGGCCAACTGCGTCCTGTTATGCTGTCATCGATTTTTCTGCGCAGACCACAAATTTGTGCAGGTTGCGCAATTTGGTGCCTCAAAAAATTAAAGTACTAAAACTAAGTTAACATAAAATCCACTCCTAGTTTATTAAAGTCGAATCGAACAGGTCTACGAACAAATTACGAATAAAACTGACGGGACAAAAGGCTTCTCTCAAATTAAAACTGAGAGGAATTCTTGAAATGTCTATACTGACCGAAAGTATTTTTATAACCCATGATAATGAATATATGCGGTACGTTCTTTCCGGATCCTGTAATTTTGTCTCACGTTACTTGTTAATATCAATTTGATATTTCCGGATTGGACAACGACAGCTCATATTTTACTTATGTTATATATTTATTAGCAATTCGTAACGTAATTCTGTAACGTTCTTTAAACGTTACAGCCTTTGATGTACTTTGACAAAGGCCTTATCATTGACAAGCAGTAACTGTAACAAATAGCAAAACGTGTTTGCATCAGCGTTCTAAATACTTTTGGTGTGATGTTGCTTGGGTCCGCACCAAACGTCCAAAGAGTTATCTTAAGGTGATAGCCTGGTTTTGAGGCTAGAGTGGAGTAAAATTTCACCATAATATTGCAGTACATAGAATAGAGTCAACCAGTGAGGAGAGTCGTCTCATACGGCGGCGACTCTTCTGGAATAATGACCTCGAGGCCCAGCCTAGGTAACAACATACTTTTTCTTTATATTAGATCCTTCGAATACTTCACAAAGTGTTTAAGCGCATTGGACGGAGATTAAATGAATTCAGAGTAATTCATTAATTACATAAAAGATGAAGAGCATAATTGCTACAGATATTCCAATTTAGAAAATATTATTTCAAACAGATGAGGCCATATTTAAGTCTCAAGGAATGATTGGATCATTAAGAGAAGAGACAAGACACTCATATCGCCTTTATGAACAATAGAAGGAAGCACTGCAAACTCTTAACACTAATCACCAGGCCTCTTCAAATATGGCATTTGGGGGTGCTATGCCATATTTTTCATAAATAATTTTTGCGTGACGCCATAAATAAGAATGGAAGTCCAAGTCTCCTTTCGTTCTTGTTCTCTCTTGTTAGCTGTTGACGTTGATGAAATGTCTTTAAAGAAATGCAGAACGCCATTTAATCTCTCTCTCACGAACTTGACTATGGGCTGAAGATCTTCACGGATGGTGTCGTTATGAGAATGTATTCATTGATAGAATGAGAAAGAGAGAATACTCTTCAAAACAGTGGATCAAATCCCAGAATTTGATGAAGCAAGGATTACTTTTGAAGTTAGATTTTCCAAACTGTGTATCCTGAAACTATGTGTGTGGAGGGTGATTTCTCCATGATTACCTAAGAGAAAAATGAGTATATATCTTAATGATATTGTCACTCTAGTAAGCATACATTATAAGCAATTCAAGCAAATTAAAATTAGTGTCATAAATAAAAATTGGCTGATGCCATAATAGACTAAGTTATGACAAATTTGGCAAATGCCAAGTTAGCAGAGGCCTGCTAATCACACAAATATGACTTGTTAGTTCACATTTCAAAGATTCGCATCATTGAAAAACGTATCGAGAACTGTAATTACAAGTCAAAGTACTTCTAGTTTCTACTACAAGAGTTGCAAAATTGGTGCCATGTCACAAATTTAGGTTAGATGGAACATATAATTTGTCAACTATTTCCAGCGTAAACGGTGACATTTTCCTACAACCTGTGAGAGAAGTAATTAAACTTCAACTTGACTATGTCTTCAAAGATTACAAATATGTAGCTCTCTCGAGGTGGTTCATCTGTCAAAAACTAAGATGAAAGGAGAATGATAACGTGTTTAGCTATCACATTTTATCATATTGTAATGAAATTGCCCATTAATGGTGCACAAACTTGACCATAAATTTCACGAGTGCATAAGACTTCTTTTAGTGAGGTCTGCCATAAAGATTTTTAGGCGCGTCTGCTTTATATCAAACTAAATTATTAGAAATATCAGAATGTGTGTGTGTAGAAATTTCAGCAACGAAAATTACATTAAATTTATAAATGACAATATCATAAAAGTGATGGAACACCCAAAGAATCTACAAATTAAACCAAAGTGTGAATAAGTAGAAGATAGACTAATACTAGTCTTCTACCCTCTTTAAACCAACAAATCATAAAAAATAGAAGAAGAAAAATGATATATGGTTGAAATGCTGTAGACATAATGACCCTGCGCTGAACATTCCACTCCATATCTCTAACTGCGCAAGAGCTTCCAGAGACTTCCATGCCCGAGATGACTGCAGACTCACAGATAACGTAGACGTGGTGAGCAGCAACTGTGATACACTGTGGTAACCGCGTAACCGAAGTTAAGCAGCAGTTAATCACCGCACCGGGGACCCTAAATTTACCCTGGTTAGGTTCAGGCTGGAAGACTTGGAAGACTTGGGCATTTACGAGGCATGACTGCATGAGGTTACGTGGCAGAGTGCATGGTTGCGGTCAATGGAAACCCACGAACCGAGTTCGAACCGCGGTCGAGGGAGGGATGATGACAAAAGCCGAGGCAGTGATTGAAGGGTTAGGACTCCGCCTACTTGTCACGATATTTGACGCCGGGCAAAATAATGCGCGCAAGCACCGAAATAGCGAAAATAAAATACAACCGATATCCAAACAAAATCCTCGCTCTCAAGCTCGCTGTTGTTGGTGGGCGAATAATAAACCCAACCCAACCACCAGACCTTTGTCTAGTTACAATTAGGGTCCGAGGTCTTCGGGGGTTGAGCATGGGGTTGACGCCCCTTGTCTCTCTCCTTCCACCTTTTTGTTTGGCTTCAACCAACGGTAGGTCGCTCCCCTCCCCCCCGCCCTCCACACCCCCCGCTCGGCCCCGTCCCTGGCCCCGTTCCCGTTCCCAACTCAACGCCTTCTACCAGATTAGGACGCAACGCCCCTTAGCTACCCCGGCCTTCCTGCCTGCCTCCCTTCATTCCTTCCTTCTACCAACGCACGAGCAAGCAAGCAGACAGACATTAATTATGCGCGTTTTGATTGTGCCGGATCTCTCTCTCTCTCTCTCTCTCTCCCTTTGGAGGCCCTGATCCTTTACTTTTCCCGGAACGACTGGAGTCGGGATTCGCGAATGTTTTGGAGCTCATTCATGGTGGCCATGGACTTTGAATCTGAGGGCGTCCTTGGATTTTATTCCTTGTCAGGACAGTTGAAAGCCGCACCGCGATGCCTTCATGTACGCTGTAACTATGGTATCCAACATGGATCATAGTCTCGGTGGACTTCTCTTCTCTTTCTGCAGGTCACGAAGATTCGTTTGGATGCTAGCAACAACACAAAAATCTATCTGATCGGCCGCCGATTGGCTCGAGCCACCGCTCAGGCCTCTGATGATCGGCCCCCCGCCCCGGGGATCGGGATGGACCTGCATTCTGTGGAGTCGGTTGCCGGGCGCAGTCTACTGCGACTGTGAGTAAGTTGTTGTGGCGTGGTTTCCCCGGACAAACTGCAGAGTGTCGTTGGCCCTTGCGACAACGTGGTCGATGGGCTCGACGCAGTACTCTGACGGTGCTGCGGAGACTTGTCGAGATGATTTGGGAGTTCTCGTGAGCTCTGAAGGCCGTCGCCATGCCTTCTCGAGCTACGACAATGTTCAGATAAGATAGATTCTGCGGACGAGTCCGATCTAATGACGTGGAGTTTCGGCGAGACACGAGAGACGAAGCACGAGGCATTCACAGTCTGCCGGGAGGTTAGATGGATGGATGGATCGGGGGCTCAATCATGCAAGTGATAGGAAAACATGAATCTGCAAGTGTAACATGAATTTTTTGCGCTTTTTGGGAGATGCGCATGGATGGATGACGACCTTGTGGAGTATTCGAAGAAGGCAGCACTGTCGAGCCTTCGCGATTTTGACCGATGCGCTTCTAAGATATCGAGACTGGAACGAAGTGCTCCCCATGGCCTTCTTTTTGGGTCGAGGAAGGAACCTGATTGGGATGGCTGATAGCCTCCGATGCCAGCCAGCATCGAGCTTCGCATCTCTGCCATGGTTTCGAGGCAGCACGAGCATGACTGCATTCACACTCTACATTGGCAACAGAAGTCAATCGAACTTCGTTGAAACTTCACCCTCAGCTTTTTGTTGTCAACGTCAACTACTCCCGCTTCATGCATCGCACACAATCGAATCCTCTATATATCCACACATACATCAATAAAACGTGTGATTGATGATGGAATCTGAAGCGATGAAACGTGAGTGTCCATTCCAAAGTTGTACACCATTTCGTGCTCAAGGGTATTCGATCTGTGGCTTTGTCGGTCATTGAGTGAGAAATACACAATGGAACTCGGACTGCCAAGGCCATGGCTGTGAATGAAAGAGGTCAGACCTCGTAACAAGGAGACTGACGATGTAGCAATAGTTTACCACAACTGTGTGGTAAACTCCCTACTGCAGTGGCGAGGCCATGCTGTTCAACTCGCTGCTCGGTGACGCACGGCCGGTCCATGGCATCCTGTCCTCGCCTGTCCGGGGGCTAATCGAACTAACGGCACATAAGTGCAATTCATCACACGCAGCTGAATACCAATTATCACTTTGCCATGGAGAAGCACGGCGGCTTCAGCAGAGTACAAGGCCAAAAGGTTTCTGCCTGCAAGAGCACCAATTTGCATTTATGAGGGGAAACTCAGCGGCTTTCTGATTCTGCAGATGGGAGGCGATGTCACATGTTGATACGCAGGTATAACACAACATACATGTTCATGTCCAAAGGTAGCTCAGAACTGCACCTCTCAAAGCTTTCACAAAGCCCCAGTTTGCTGACTGAGGTTAGAACCCGATACCTTCTCAAAGAAAAGACCTTGTCGCACCTAACATATGCTTTCTTATTCGACACTGCCGTTTCCAGGTCTTGGAGAAAGGTGGACATTACGACAGAGATGTTACGTGTGAATTGTCGAGTATGTGTGCTTCATTGCTACCTTGAAGCGTACGAAATGATCGTAATGGGTTAATGTATCCTCCAGCTTTTACAATCCCAACGGGGTGACACTTCCTGAACATAACCTATTTTTGTATTTGATTTATTTTTGTTCGCCGGCTCCGGTGCAACTTCGATGATTCTTCGCAATCCACATCCAGAGTGGATTGTCAGAGGTCAGGTCACTCTCCTAGGCCTCAATGTTGCATGACATTGCGTATTATCTCTGGCTGGACCTGCGCATATTTCGATAATTTTCCAGCATCTGCCATCCGATTGTCTACAGTTATGGCGCTTGGCCGGCACATAAAACTTGCACAATGCTGCTTACTCTTTGGCAAATGCAATAGACGTTTTCCGTTTTCCCGGAACATGAAATGGATCGAAGCAGCATCGACTGACACGCATCTCATGAGTGTTACTGGGCAGACCGGACGACTGCATGGAACGAGTAAGTTTAACGAGCAAATAACTCAATGGCAGTAAAGACTGGGTACGTGGAGCTTGCGTATACGGCTGAGCTTACCACAAATCTCTGAATTTAGTATTCTCCAAGAGGGACGAGACCTGATCGTTCCTTAATGTGACGAATAATTGGTTCCATTTGCACGTATGAAATTGCGCATTTGAGTCATTTCTCAGGATATAGAAAAAAGCACAATGTGGTTGCATTCCTGACATTAGCGTCCTCAGGTCCTTATCTTTCGTTACCGATCGAGTTTCGTCTTAGAGTTTCTCAGGTCCGCAAACTTGGAAACATGCTCAGCATTTCGAATTAAGATTCAGTGATGTATTACAACCTGACATTTCAAGGCTACAAGAGGCTCTAAGGTTACTGAAGTCAAGAACTTCCACGAACGTCCGGTTTAGCTACATGTTAGAAAATATCACGTTCTAAATGGCGGATTAGAGCTGAAACCTTGCTCAGATTTACACAACATTGACATATGAAACCTTTCACAATGTATAATCTCACGAGAAGTTCGCCCCAGCTCTTCATTGTGCCCAATTCCAACGGAAATCAAAATTCATGGTCGATATTGTCAGGGCATTACTTTCTTTCTCATCAACCACATCCAAAGAATAGTGAAGAATGTGGCTAATGTCATTTTTCATGGCATTATCACCATTTGTGAAGCTTTGCAATCTCACACATTAATCATTATAATGGCATAGAAAAAGACTGGAAAGTCCATGCCATCTGAAATTCCGGGGTACCTGGAACATCAACAACTTACTTCAGCCATTGGCCGATAGATCCAGGGAAATCAACAAGAATATCTCGAAAGCATCTTCGAAGAACGATAAGCTTGAATGGATTATGTACATACATCCGCTTGAAGCAAAGCGAAGGATCTGAAAGCAAAACTTGCGATTCGAAATCACATCTGCAATTCAGACTTAGTTCAGACTTAAGACACAAGAAGAACAAGCAGCCACACACGAATCAAATGACAACTTCTAAAGCTCTAATCCACTGCTCCCTACTTCCAACATCATCACATATATCAAATAGATTACAATTCGCTATTCTCCATTTTGAGCTTCTCCTCCACTATTTCCTGCGAGACCCAAGAATCATCACTCTAAATTGTGAGCTCGATGGTCCCAGTATCTCCTGTAAGTGGTAACCATTACTTCGGTGATCGGCTGACAGGAAGTCTCAAAGGCTCAAAGCAACAATATAGCTAATATGGTAAGAAGACCCCAAGCTCTACATGGATTGTAACAAACTAGTGACATGTGGTTACATACAAATAGGAACAATTGTAAATTCCAAAGCAGATGTGAATTATGTCACCAACTAGAGAGGCTAAATTTTGTTAAACTATTTTTATATTAAGTTCTTGTGAAATGCAATAACTGATTTATTATATAGAGCAATTGCAAATTGTTTTTCTGCACAATCATCTACAAAGTAATATTACTCGTTTTTCTAATATTGTAAACTCTTGAGCACTGAATTTAAACGTGAGAAAATCACATCCCTACTCTATATAACTCATGCTCTAAAGAAACAAATCATGATTCAACTTACATATATAACCCTGCAGTTATGTACTTTTTGACTTTGAAGTTACTTCCTTATCCATAAATGAAATTGTGCAATCAACCACTCGATGTAGAATCAAATTATTATTACCTTTTTAAAAATTAACCTTTCAATTAAAAAAATTTAGACTCTAATAACAACTTACTTTCATTTTTATGTTTATCAATTTTATTTTCTTTTAAAAGAGAAATTTGAATTTGAAATTGAAATTTATCTTGATTCTTATAGAATAATAAAATATCCTTTATTTATTTTATCATGAAAGTTTCCTGATAATATCCACAAATGAATTTTTTTAAACATAAGATGAATTTTGCTTTGTATTTATCAGAAACATTACATAATTTTGTGTTTCAAATACATTTTGTCTTATGGAATGAAACATTACTCTTGAAGATAATATTTTGCTGTAAAACTGTTATCTTCACTAAAATAAAGAACAAAGATATTGAAATATTCAGAAATAAAACTGTAAATATTTTTCTCAAGATCATATTTTTTTATAATTGTTTCTTATCTGTCCAAATTTTTTTAAAATGACCATTAAGTCAAAAAAAATTTCACATTAGGTTTGAAGTTAGATGTATATTCAAACATTTTTAGTTTATCTTCATGTGAAATTATTGCATGATGTTAGTTCAAAATATACAAGTTCAAAATATACAAGACAGTGATTGTCATACAGTTAGATAAACAAACACGAGTAGACAAAATGGTAACTTTTGAGGTCTAAGTCTACGAAAAAAGCACGCGAGAGAGTTTACTATCATAGTGAAAAAAAATGAAAAAAAATGCAAAAACCTTGAGGTATTATATAGACTCACCACCAGCAACTAAACTAGCTATAAATAGCTAGCACCGGAGGTTACTCTTTAATCAGAGTTAACCTCAATTAACTTCTCCTTAACTCGTGTTAGAAAACAAAATAATTTTTGTAATTTATATTATTATTCTACAGAAAGTTCTAGAAAGAAACATAACACAAGATTACTCTATACACAAGAGTTAATTAGAATTAAGCTGTAACCATAACAAAATAAAGAAATAACATGAAGAGTTGACTAAAAACCTGCTACCATAGAGGTACATAAACCTTGTAACCTATATAATTATTCTTTGAAAAAATTTAGAAAAAAAAGCTAATACAAGTTTCCTCTTTAAACAAAAGTTAATTAGAACTAAGTCATAATCATAAGAGTATAGAGTAAAAATATAAAGAGATAACTGAAAAAACTATGCTAGCAAACTCTAACTGTGTTCCTTATATACAACTTTCATAGTAGCACCACTTTGTCTGAAATTCTTCAAAGAAATAACTTCGGTCAACGCATCAGTTGAATTTTTTATATCATCTATTTTGACTAGCTCAATCGTTTTATTAAACACTGCTTGTCTGATAAAGATATACATAATGTAAATATGTCTCACTCTCCTATTCATGACTTGGTTCATAGCCAAATGTGAAGCACTATGGCAATCTCATCTCCATGATAAGCTTATCCAACCAAATAGTTTACTTTATTGTTTTTGTTAACAACTAAGCTTTTGTTGTCAATAGAGCTACACACTTCTGCAAGATAGATCTCCATCTAATGCTTCCACCGCCAAATGTTAATACATACCGAGTTGTAGATCTCTTTTAGTCTAGATACTGTCTGTAGTTAGCATCAACATAGCCAAACAATGATTTGACATTGTCTAATAAACCATCAAATAGTAAGCCAAAATCCATAATTCTTTTCAGATATCTCGAAATCCATTTCATTGCTTACTAATGAACTTTCACTACATTCAATATGTAATTGCTCATCTTCTCCATCGCAAGAGCAATGTCAGCTCTAGTGGACATCATCAAATACATGAGATTGCCGACAGTTTGTTCATAAGCAACACATGACATTCTTCATTTTTCAACAACATCGGTAGTACATTGAGCTGCGGAGAGTTTGAAATGTGTTACCATAAGAATCCATTCTCATTTAAAATCACCCATGTTAAACATATCAATATAGGACAAACACACTTGCGCTAACTCAATCAAATTCTCTTCTTTTCAAAATCCATATGAATATTCATGTTTAATATTCTCTTCGACTTAACTATAATCTTCATCTTAAATGCAAACTTCAAAAGATTCTTGCATTCATGAATATTGGATTGATTCTTCATCAAGATGAGTCTGTCATCAACGTAAAGTATTAGAATAATAAAATTGAACGTTACATTATTCACAATCTTCATGTAAACACAAGGATCATACACATTCTATAAAAATCCTTGTGCCCTCATGAATTCATCAAATCACTGCTTAGAAGATTACTTCAGTACATGCAATATTTTAGCAATATACAAATCAAACTCTATTAGACTTTGACCTCAAAGTCAATTGATTGTTTCATGTAAATATTCTACTCTAAATATCCATAAGAAAAAGTTGTAACCATATCCATATAATCCATAACAAGACTAAAAATTGCGACTAGTGCACATATTGGACAAATTGTAATGTACTTTGCTACAAGAAAAATAACTTTGTTGTAGTTCATAGACTTCTCGTGTGTAAAACCTCTAGTCATCAATTTGGCTTTGAAGATTTTTGCCTTGGTACTTGCTGGATTGTACTTTAGCTTGTACACCAATTTGGAGTCAATCAATGCTTGATTCCTAGAAAACTCAACAACTACTACTCAACCAACGCCTACATCTCACGCTTTATAGTAACATTTCACTCAAGCTTGTTGATCAAAACATGAATTTCCCTGTACTAAGAAGTTTCAACTTTTTCCAAGATCAACACCACACAATCTCCAATCTTTGTATCAAGGTCACGATCTTTCCAGAAAGTGAAACAATAGGAGAGAATACTCACACATCACTATGTACATACTTCAATATCTCCGTGAAACTATGAATTCCAACGCCAAAAGTACTTCTTATGTTGTTTGCCCATGATACAATGTTGACAAAATGTCAAATCAACTTTATTCAAACCCGGTAACACTTTGGTCTCATCATGAAAAAACATGTATCGATCACTCATATGACGTAGTCTAGATAATTATACACAAAACATCTCAACGTGAGATCTGGTAAAATTAATTTCTTCACAAATAGTGGTGCTCTCTAGCAAGTACAGATTGTTATGCTTGTGCCCCCGAACGATAAGCTCATCACACGACCTAACATCTAACACACCTTTTTAGAACTAAACTCTAAGCCGTGTGAGTTTAATGCTCCAAGAAAGATTAGGTTTTTTCTCATATTAGGTATAAACCAAATGCGGGTTGCATACGATTTACCCCATCAAACATGTGGATCTTTACAGATCCAACATCCTCAATTCTAATGATTTGTTCATCTTCCATAAAAACTAAATCGTTTGATCCTAAGAGATTACAAAAAAAGTCTCTGATGTAACAAATATGATAAGAACAAGCATTGTCTAGAATCTATATGTCACCAACAACTTTTGTTGAACTGTAGAATGCATACCTTTAACATCATAGCCCGTTTGCAAATATGTTGTCTTCGCTAAGATCAAAATGCTCAGCAATGCTTGTCGTTGGAGACGTTTGCATTTTCTATTGTCATTTGGCAATCTTTCTTAATGTGGCTACTCTTGCCACATTTCCAACACGTCAAATTCTGCATGTTAGTTGATTGAGACCTACTTTGGGTTTTTTTTCCTTAGAAAATCTGGATCTCATACTCTTTGATCCAATTTGTTGCGAATCTTTGATACTTCTTGGATGTGATTGACCTCGTATATAAGTGCGGTTTTAAAACTTAAAAGCAATATGACAACATTTATTATTTCACCTCGTCTGCCAAGAGAACACTTACAATGAGGTTGTAAATGAGAGACTTGTTATCACGATGAAACATAATCTTTGATAGTGTTTGGTAGCAACGAATCAGTGAGTGGAGAAGATACATAGCCTTCTTCATGTCAAGAAGCTCCTCTTTCATACTTTGAAGATCTACCAACAAATCATCAAAGTCGTGAATGTGATCTTGGAATTTTGTTCTGGGCCGCATTCTGAAGATCAACAGTCTCATGTATGTGTTCATCAAGTTTGACAATTGCTTCTGATGAAACCAACGTTGAATGACATCAAACAACTTTGTGACTTCGACATACTACTCAATCTGCTTCATAACTGAAAGATCTAGATGCTCCATCATCATATACACAATGTGCTCTAGTGACTACCACCATTCAATGTCGCTAATGTTTCAAATGCTAACCAACTAATTGACCTACTCGGATTTACCCATCGCATGTCTCCATAACCCGGTATTGTCCGTACATGATCTCGGCGTCTTGCGTTGCCTAGTACTGCTCGAGATTGTTTGGACTGCTCAACCTGCCCGACATGATTGTCCATCACATGTAAGCCTACGTATCAAGCCACGCTAACTCTTGCGCTTGCATGTCATGTCACATAGGCCTTTCATGCCTCCGTGGCATGGCTTGCGTGACGTCCAAACCTACGTGTTATGCCACAAGTGTCTTTCGCGTCTAAGTGGCGTGCATCACGTGTTATTCGTGCCAATGTGCCATGACACACGCATCTTTCGCGACTACTTGGCTTGCTTCGCGTGTCATATGTACCACATGGCATTTTTTTTTATTTGAATGTGTCTCACTGCTCGTTTTGGAGTGTATGCCAGCCCTCCAACAAACATTAAGCTTTCATTCTCAAATGTCACTTTACTGCTCGAATTTTGTACACTCATAGCGTAAAGGGCTTGTAGAGCTTGTTGACAATGTTTGAAAGCCACACCGGCTCTCAGAACGGTAGATGTGATCAAACTAAAAAACTAGAGTAGCTACAAAGTCTAGTCTCATGCTTAAGTTCTGTTAACGTTCGACTCCTTTGTCACAACAGAAAGCCCAAAAGCGTCACGCTTCCACAAACGGATACAAATTTCACAAACTTCCAATAACAACACGCAAATCACCAACCGCCGCTGAGTACTTACTCGCTGGAAAAATTGGCATCTTTAAAAGGAGCAAACTTGTTCAAGCCTCCACAATTAGATAGACTGATGATACAGATGTTCTTGCTCCAAGTACCAAACTTTGGATTTGCAAGGTTTCAAACAAGCTTTCCGAATTTTATACAAGTCACATCATTCATTGATTGCTCTAAACCTCATAACGATCATCATGTTCTTTGAGTAGTTTGGAATCCAACCAGCCCAATCCATAATAGTCATCGCATCTTCGTTACTAGAATACAAATAAACTTGAATGTGACTCGCAATTTCATGTCGTCGCCACCTCTCTCTCAGTTAGTTCCTCGACGAGAAACAATTACAACTTTGTGTGATCGACAATTAGAACGTGAAACTCTTCCGCCTGTGAAGATCACAGGATCTAAAGCTCAATGTTTTAGTTTGAACTGTCCTCCACTATCTACAAATTCAACCTTATGTATTTGAAATGATTCTCAAAAATCCTTCTTCCACCTATTCATCTTGAGACTTGTCAAAAAATATTGTCACATTCAAACTTCGATTCAATGTTGAAATCGAACATCCATCCAAACTCAAAACTTCATGACATCCGTCAAAAACCACAATTAAAAAAACCATCATCTTTAAAAAAACCGTAACCGAGAGAAAACCGTCATTGGCAGAAAACACGTCATAAACTTTCGCCTTAGATTCAAAGTACATAGATGTGCCACACACATTGTCATAAATGCAACTTGCTATAATATCAATTGTCATACTAAAATATTCAAGATAATAATAGTCAAGCAAAGAACAAGTCAAACAAGAGAGACAAACACAACTAGACACTGTCGTAATGTGTTTCACCTTTTACATGGTTACATCAACGAGGAAAGCATGCGAGAAAGTTTACTACGTAGTAAAAACAATAGTACAATGCAGAAACCTTTGTATAATATATATATATCCAACACCAGCAACAACCTAGCTAGTTTGGTTGCTAGGTAGATTATTCTTCAATCAAAATTAACCTCAACATATGATGTCCATAAACACTAGATTAAATGACATTTTCAAGTAATAAACACTTTGATTCCTTATTTTGTTTTGTTTGCATACAAATGTAAATATAAACACCCTTTGTGATGTAAGAAATTGTCACTTTCCATCAATTATTTCAATTTAGTCATAAATTGACAAATTTTTTTGGTTTACATCCATATTTCAGTTCAAAATAATATTATAATATCATAACTTCCTCAATTTCTACAGAAATACACAATAATCATGCATACAAATTCTAAGTTTTTATATTAATAAAAAAACTAATGAATGAAAATTACAATTTATAATGTTGAATGTTAAAGTTTATCATAAATCTGGAAGAGATGATAAATTTCAAGAATCTATACTTTAAAATTCATTGTTTAATTTTGATTTACCCATTCATACAATATTTATTATATATCTAATCAAAATACCACTTTCCTATTCATGTAATTTTTCTTAGTTGATATTTTAGTTATTAACATGCATTTGCTTTCTTACATAAAATATTATTGTTTTCTTTAACAAAATCCCATTTTGCCATTCATGGTTATTAGGCGATATATTACGCATAAACATGTATATAGTATAAACTCAACAAGAAGAAATACATGAATCTTTTTAGGATTTTTAATAAATATTCAATATAAAATGAAGATTAATCAATACAACTATTGCACATTTGTGTAATTGCTAGGCATGAGCTCTTGGAAGTTCATTATTGTGTCTCTACTACTTTCTAAACTCTTCCAAACAGTTTAATATTTCTGAGTGTTGCCTGCTTCTCAAAATACAATTTAAATAAGTTATTAAAGTGATTGTTCCTTGAATGTCGTTTGATGTACATTCATCTTTCACGGTAGCCATCATGTAAAAGTATAAACTACACTTCATATAACAACAAAATGTGTACTCAAAATCGATTGAAAAAAAAAACTAAGAAAATTAGACAATTTTAACTTGTAAATATATTCCTCACAAAAATTGCTTACTAGGTTTTTAAAACAGTAAAAGTATAAATTAAAATCTACATGAACACATCTATCAAGTTAAGATCCATGGCCTTAAAATAATAACGTACATAATCATGTTCGCAATAAAACCGTGCCAAACAACTGAAAACATGATTGACTCATGACAACCAGATATAAGATTTTGTTACAAATTCTCACGTCTTGTTGACAAAAAGAGATCGAGACGCAAACCAACGGTATGAACTGAAATGGCATCCCAAATTGCAAGGCTTGGAACTAATCAATTGTACATCTTTTCAAAATTGCTCGAACCGGTTGGAACAATAATATCACCCCTTCCTTATAACAAATGTTATCACCGGTACTGGTCAAGACCAGGGCCCCTATGACACGTATCATTATCTAAGGCTGGAAGAACTACCTGCGAGGGACAATGGGCTAAGGAAAGAGTCTGCTATACACAGTTAAGTTTCTGAGAGCTTCAAGGCACACCTATAAAACAGCTGCAAGTTTCTTCCTCATTGTTCAGTGAGAACTAAGGATGATATGACCATCACATAAGCCACGAAGAAAATAATGGCAATTTGTAAGAAGAAGCGCGGATTATCTCGCACATGAGGAGCTGTCACCGCCCTGTTGGAATCAAGGACAAAAAGAATACTATAAATAGTAAGCTGTCTTTCACACGAGGAGCTGTCACCGTCCTGTTGGAAACAAGATACAGAGAATACTAAGAAGCATAAGCCTCTCGAAGATTTAGCAGGTCGCAGATATAAGAGTTTCAGTCATGCGGCTAACGGATTGATATATGTTCAAAGTTGTGAATCGAACGTTACCTGGCTATTTTCTGAGCTAGGCGGAAGAATGGTAAACTTTGGACGAACACAACACCAGGTCCAGTAAGATGGGCGTGTAAGAGATTTTCACCCTGCGTTGCCAAAAATCGATGACCAATCCCGACCAACATGAGAAAACTGGAAGTTGGAGGAGAAAATGAAAAGTACGCCTGACGATGATCCGTCTTTTTTCTTAACAACCTAAAAGCAGTTACTCGTCCTCTTTCTGTAGGCTTTCACTTACCCCGAAGAAGGCACGTTTTAACGGACCAGCGTACTTAAGTTCCAACTCCACGCTGGTGGTCATGGCTACTAAACAACCCGCATCTACAACTAAAACCTCCCCCCGGGCTAGATGCTTTTGAATAACTACAAATAAACGACACGCAAATAAAAAGTTAGCGTATAGTTCAAGATTTCAAAATTTTGTAGAACTACCGTAGTCATTCGATTTGGCCTGCCATACTAAAAACATCGACCCCGTACAGAGCATTGGCACTGCTAATGATGAATTTTGAAGAAGAAAAAGTAGCTCATAAATTCAGAGTCAGCTATATTTACTTATTTTACTTTCCAATAAGGATGATCATGAACAAAATACATGTCAATGCCCTTTGAAGTTTCATTACGCATATTCCAAGGGCAGGACTGTTCAAGTTCTGAAATAAATGACAAGAAACACAAGAAACACAACGAATAACAGAGTTGGAGAAGCGGTGAACCTACTAGACCCCCCAGCAGTAATGAAAGCAAGGCCCCGTCCGACGAGCTTTTGCATCATGAATCCCTGCAAATAACCTCTCGTATCAATCCTCCGTATTCAGTGACGGGGAGTTGCTATATAGAAAACAGACCAAAAGAATGCTATACAATTGAATTTTGTCACTTGTGGCATAACTTTCCATGTACAATAAGATACAATACTTAGCACGAGTGCTTATTTGGAAACTATTTGCTCTTGTTAGAAGAACAATTTGATGAACATCTTACTGGAAAATGATCTACAAAGTGGTGCAGGATTATCGACATACATCAAACTCGAAGACATCAAATTTACCTCTCCACCAAACATTCCGGGTCTCGCTCTTCGTGTAGCAACAGGAGACACGGAAACATCGTTGATAGAACACAAAAAGGAATCTCTCTGTAGTGGTAGACAATACAAAACACCAAGACTTCAGAAATATATATATGTACTACATCCTTTACGAAGGAGAAAGCCAGAGGCCCTTCTCCACGAGGTCGATATAGACAAGATTCTTGGATGAACTTAACGCCGGGGTGACAGCAGTCCTTGATTGGCTTATACCAATCAATGACTCCCGTCCATCGTAGTATTCCACGGGATCCACAGGTTGTAGGTTCTTGTGTAATTTAGAGGTACTGGTTACTGTTTAACTGTGCTTTCATTTACTCATGGCTAACGAATCCAAAAGATGTTCCCGACCTCATTCCTATGAACAACTCGAAAGTTAGAACCAATCTCATGTGGGAGCTTTCAAGTCTAATTATTTCCACCGGAATTCTTAGTAGGGACAACGCCAAGAGACACACTCAAGTTACGGTAGTCACTCAATTCTTTCTTTTTTGACGCGAAGATAAGCAGCATGCTTCAAGTTTGAGTTAAGTGAGGTTTACTTGGCTTTTATATCTAGCCGCTTCGTATTGTGCTGCTCATTAGTAACAAAGGAGAGATATTCAACTGATCCCGGTGTCTCTGCTGGTGTGTTGAGTCTACGTTACCAGTCTAATATGAACTTTCCTTCCTCCCAGAGAATGCTTCAAAGGTTACTTCAAAATTCTTCCGTAAGTTGATCAGACTTCCTGGATACTTCATAGCAAGGCAAACTTTCTAAAAGATCATTTCCTTCCTCCCAGAGAATGCTTCAAAGGTTACTTCAAAACTCTTCCGTAAGTTGATCAGACTTCCTGGATACTTCATAGCAAGGCAAACTTTCTAAAAGATCATCATCGAAACAGGATTATTTACACTCTGCATTCTCTACATCTGGTATACAAGCAGAATTGCTGGAGCTACCTAACAACCTCAAAAGCTTGAAACACATCAAATTGTCGAGCTGAAATAGCCCAGAAAGAATACATATCCCTCCAAGGAACCATGATATCTAATATACTCTGAAACCAATCCGATGTACGTCAGGATTCAAATAAGCCAGAGGACACAAAACCAGGATCCCATATTTAACCATCAAGGACAGTCCTGGTTCTATGGAGATCCCAGTGGAACCAAATGTTGCCTACTGTCGCCTTGATGTGAATTGACCTAAGAGGTAAGAGATCGATTCATAGTCCTAAGAGAAGAACGATAAATTATAGAAGATACTCAGATGAAATATATGGTTCAACGGTTTAAACCATCTTATATATTTTAGCCATTTAGATTTCAACTTGCAATTCGCCCAAGCACTTGATTTTTTAGACTCGACATCTTCTCCCCACTTAGTTTAGCTTTTAAAAAAGATTTGAATTTTGCTGAATCATGTATATTTTCAGCATAATAACAATAAATATTTGAAGGTGATCAGAGTTAGAGAGCAGAACAGACCTGACAAATGATTTCCTCGCCGAAGACTGCCAGGTCAATCTGAAAGACAAATTGAAAAATATGCGAATGAAACTAAAGTGAAAGACTCACGACATCACCAAACAAAGTCTTGCAGGACAAACACATAGGAATATGAACATTTCTTGCAGTTAAATCTTACCGGAAGTACTCTGGCAAGAGAAGGGGCACCAAGACCAATATATCCATCTTGCGTTCCATTGTTCACGTACCTGTAAGTTTTAAACGTGTGGTTAAACAGTCCACGCATATGATCGAAAGATCGGACAGAAGCAAATGGGCCATTTACTAGATTGCGAATCCAGATGCTCCAATATTCGAAATAGTCCTCACCTTCAGCGACTATCCTCTAGTCCATCCTCAATCCGCTCCAATTCACAAGGTGGTCAACAGAAAAATACGGGCATAGAATGCTAACGGACCAAAAGGCGGAATCAAATTAACTTGTCAATCATAAAATGGAACAACAATTACACTCACAAATTCCCTACTTAAAGGTACAGTGATATGCCATACGTGCTAATGGCGTCAACCTTTCCAAATAGCCACTGCCAAATAACATTTCCAGCATTTTCCGCGGGCACATTCGTCTCCGTTTGGACTGCATCAGACATGTAGCACATAGATCCTGGACAATCGTTTCAGATGAAATTACTACACGAAGTCATTCTGAAGTGAGTGAAGAAAGTGGATACTCAGCAAATAACAAAGCGAACTGTCAAATGCTTTATTTTATGCTTTATTTCTGCATCAAGAGTTAACAACACGATAGGATATTAAGCAGGCTATTCAAGATGAGGTCGTGTCTCCTGAAGTAGATTCCTCACGATATTAATCGTGAGAAACCCACTTCAGGAGACACGACCTCATCTTGAATCCACCTAGTTATCGTCAACATCGTACTATGATCGATAAATGGCATCTCTTGAAGTAAAATGTACATTCAAAACTTTATGTCTAAGTAAGAAACTGATAATCCTAGTCATTCAGATATCGAATAGATAGGAAGGACACCATGTGTGCCATACCTGTCCTCGCTGTAACTTTTTCTTGAGGTTTCAGCATGATCTGTAAGAAAAGATCTTAGTTAGAATATTTTTTTGGCATACAGTTCTAACTTACTTCCTGAAGTAACCCACTTCCTCACATGAAATCACTTGAACAAGTCGACAATATGAACCAACGTCATACCAGTTGCAAGACAGTTGATCAAAGAAAACGAACAGTCACAAGTGTCAGCACTGACAGAGGCAATCGGTACAAGAGGAGACAGCCCACGAGGCGTCCTCTAAACAACTTGGAAGTAACCCACTTCCTCAGATGAAATCACTTCGCCAAGTCTACAGTATAAACCAAAGTCATAGCAGTTGCAAGACAGATAATAAACAAAAACCAACAGTCAAAGGACTCGGCGCTGACAGTGGCAATCAGTTCGTTAGGAGACAGCCCTCCAGGCGTTCTCCAAAAAACTTGCAAGCAGCCCACTTGCTCAATAAAAATCACTTAAACAAGTCGAGATTAGGAACCAAAATCATAGCAGTTGCAAGACACTTTATGGTAAGATAGCTGTTCGGCAAAAGTCAGCCACCTCTCCCTCAACGAAGCAGTCGTGCTTCCTCAACGATTGCTTCGTGCCCCGTCGTTGAAGGAGAGGATAGCTGATGATATACCTTCTGTTGCCAATCCTTTATATGCACCAAACATGCATTGACCACTAAGCTTATGGGGTTTTTCTCCATTTGAAGGCGCCAGCAAGGAAATAGTTCCTTCAAAGCATGACACCTATTGTTGTACTTCAACGGCAGATTACTTTAGGCCAAAACCTAAAAATACACACCATCCGGATTCATATTGTGTTCCATTTGAAAGCTACAAAAGCGAAAAAGTCCCTCGAAGGCATGACTCGTATATCGCGATAAGGACGAAAACGGATAGTATGAACCAACGTCATAGCAGTTACAAAGAAGTCGACAAACGAAAACGAACACAAGTCTCAGCGTAGCAATCAGTTCGATAGGAGACAGCCCTCCAGGCGTTCTCCAAAAAACTTGCAAGTAGCCCACTTGCTCAATAAAAATCACTTAAACAAGTCGAGATTAGGAACCAAAATCATAGCAGTTGCAAGACACTTGATGATAAGATAGCTGTTCGGCAAAAGTCAGCCACCTCTCCCTCAACGACTGCTTCGTGCCCCGTCGTTGAAGGAGAGGATAGCTGATGAAATACCTTCTGTTGCCAATCCTTTATATGCACCAAACATGCATTGACCACTAAGCTTATGGGGTTTTCCTCCATTTGAAAGCGCCAGCACCAAAATAGTTCCTTCAAAGCATGACACCTATTGAAAACGACGTGTTTCACCTAAATTGTTGTACTTCCACGGCAGATTACTATAGGCCAAAACCTAAAAATACACACCATCCGGATTCATATTGTGTTCCATTTGAAAGCGACAGCGACGAAAAAGTCCCTTGAAGGCATGACCCATATATCGCGATAAGGACGAAAACGGACAGTCACAAGTGTCAGCTGACAGTGGCAGTCCGTTCGAGAGGAGGCAGCCCTCGAGGCCTCCTCTAAATAACTTTAAAGTAACTAAGAAATCAGCATAAGCTTGGTAGCTGATTTCAACGGTAATCACCAAACCAACCAGCAAAAGAATCATATTTCCCTGCTTGCACTTTCGAGGTTCAGCTTCAATTGCTAAAACATGGTATTGAATGAAGAAAAATATCACAGTTCATACCTGAAGTACTTGGGCTTCCCCTCCCAATATTTGAAAAGGTGTCACAACGGCTTGTGGACTCTGATAGAGGCAAAAGAGTGACACTTTAGTGTTAATAAATGATCACTATACTGATGGTCACAACACCTCAGAATTAAGAACTTTCGTGATTCTCGAGAAAACAGGCTCGAAATGGGAAAAGGAGGGAATTAATAAATTACACCACCGGATACGACAAGCTCGAAGGTGACGATATGTGGACCGTAGGTTTATGGCTGATCAGTGGTATCAACCCTAAGGTAAGGATTAGTGACCAGCTAAAGGAATGTATAGCGTTCTCAATCTCATCCATTCAAGACCTACCAACAGTTTAAGAAACATGATATTTGATTAATTTACTCATAACATACGGGATAATCTCACGTATAAGTTTTCTGATGGACAAAACATGTAGAGAACTACAAGCTTATCTCTGACAAGACTGCTCTCTGTTTGCTGTAAGCCCCTCAAACACCTCCTGGGTCTCAAACTCACTGTCTTGAACAGCGTGCAACTTCCCGAAACTAGAACCCTAGAAATCCCAATGCATGCAGCACAATTCATGTACTTTGTGCCTTAAATTATGCATTGGTATTTATTTAATAATGATAGAAATTAGAACTCGGGACAGGACTTGTGAAAAAATATCATCTCTGGTGAACAGAACCAGTTTTCAGAAAACTCACAAGAAACAAGATCCCAAGAAAGTCGGATTCAAAGTATCCAAAATTTCCATTGTTAACATTTCATCCGAAGGATCCATCTCCTTCAGGCCAGATAAATCTGATACTGATTCTACGATGGTAGCTGCTGCTAAGACGAAATTCGTACTTCGACTTCGTTCTACGCTACAATATCTCAGTCTGGTGTCGAAGCCACTGGGATGTGCTGCTGTACCCAATTCGCTTCAAGCTACAAAGACGGATACATCTGACAATTCAATTGTACAAACTTGAGACAGAAGAGGCACGTATGGAGAAATCTGACTACCATCCATCAATGCCAGTGCAAAACCAGCTAATTGTAGAAACACCGGGGCGAGATTACGTACTTGATACACATAGGGCTGAAACGGAGTCGACAAAGCAGGGGCGGCCATGATGCCGAGAGCTGGATCGCATGGATGGAAAAATGATGGACGAACACCAAAAACTTCTTAGCTCCTCTCGGTGCATGTGGTATATGCCATTTCCAGCAACATACAGCTCCTGACGAGGCGCAGTATCAATTCCTCCGACTGCACTGCCCCACTCCGCTCCAACTGAGAGGACGCTAGTGTCGTTTCCTACCACCACCGGTGCAGAAACCTCGAGCGTAAGCCGCCGGCCGGGACTGATCAAAATTCAAACATATTCAGACCATCCCAGCATCACCAGCATCCCACCCCGCGAGGAGCAATCAACCCCCACCGATCTCTCCGATTGATGAAAGACGAGGTGGAGACAAAAGGGTGCCTCTCTCTCTCTCTCTCTCTCTCTCCCCCTCCCGGTGGAAGAAAGCCTTACCTCGCTATTTAAATTTATATTTTACTGCCCCAAGTTTCCAACATCACCCAGTAGGCGATCAGGCTACTGGTTCAGACTGTGCGTCAAAGCTCGATCGATCCCGGGATCGAGAGGTGCGCGAGCGTGTGAGTATTTTTATGTTTCTGCCTCCGGATCGCTCCCTCTCCCTCTCCGTCTTCCTCTCGCTCGCTCTCACTCTGGAGGAAGAAATTGCGTTCGGATCCTGGTCTCGAAACCCGAAGATTCTCTCTCCTCCCGAGTCTTCAGATCCGGGCCCTGTGACGTGTTCTTTTGGTCATGTCAGACAGGAGGCAGTGAGCCAATGCAGAGCCTCGACTCGCATCGTGGCACCGCCTTATTGGTGGCCATCGGCTGATCCAGGGCGGTCTCAAGCGTCCGGTTTGACGTGGCATAGGTGGAGTCAATACTACCCTAAACTTGGCGGTAGGACTCACGGCTCTGGACATTATTCCTGACGCGTGACGTGGTGCGTCAGTCATACTTGGCACCCTAATTCAAGAATGTATTGACGCGATTAGTCGCGGGTGCATAGGGTCTGATAGTCTCGCTAGAATGCTGCTCTCTCTTGTGTTCCTCGGGATTTCCTCGTGCCCTGCTCCTCGTTCGGTTGGAGTCACGAGAGGCAGAGAACTGTAGAGACATGAAACGGATGAGGTTGCGATCAAGTGTCTCGCTTTTCTCAAAAGCTCTTCACTTGCAGAGTCTCCACGAACCTCTAGCGATTCGTGACAGTATTAGATGCGGATCACAGTTGTAGAGACGAGACTTCAACGACTTCTTGCTGCTCGTGTGTGCATTCGTTGGCGAGCCCGCTACTGTTGCTAATTTGGACAATCGGAGATGTATGTGGCAGCAAGAGGTACGGTGTTTTTCCAAATTTTGGGCGAGTTAAGCTTGCTTCGGACAGATCCGTGCTGGTGATACTGCGTGCGCAATTTTTCACTGCATTGTGCGCAAATCCTTGTTGCCAATTTCGTGGTTTCCAAAAGCAAAGTAATGATCTGAACAACTGAAGATTGTTCACTGACTCTTTAGTGAATGCATGCTCGCTCAGACATGGATACTACTAAAAGACTTACAAATACAATCAAACAAAGAACGAAACTAGCTAGAGATTTTGACCTCGACCTATATAGTATCTTATTTATATATCTTCCACCTTCATATGCATTGGTTATAAAGTTTTTTTTGTAAACATTGTACATACATAAACTAGATAGAGTGATTCAGACACTAACCAAGTTCACCTTGGTGGTGCTGATTGGTAATTACACATCAACAGATATCGAACTTGGCTAGTGGATAAGTGCTGTGTTAGATTTGGAAGCCAAGGTACAGTTTATTGGTATAGATATTGTTACTCTTATCCACGAGTTATATTATGCAATCAAACAAATTCATTGAGATTACCCAGAAAGATGAATCATCTCTCGTTAAATCTGATAACAAAATTCACTAAACTAATCTAAATTATAGTTCTTTGAAGAACATGTATAGATAAAGAAAATGTTCGATAGTAATATATTCATTAATTCTTGTAATAATATTTAGTTATGGTGGAAATAAATAATGTAAATATACATATTGTGTTTTCTTTCCACTTCGTGATAATCTCTCATTTACCTAAAACTTCGATGAACCCTCACAAATAACTATGCCTTACATGGTAACCCTCTCTAGCCTGTTGTTCGCTACGACTTGACACATATATCAGGTAAATCCTTAGGAGTACCATACTAAGTGCTTTGGATTGGTTGGAACCAAAACAAAATTGGCCGGTGCAAGCCGAGCTATAAACGAAACCTCGCATAAAGCCTTTGGGCCTTGCCGAAGTAATAGCCCAATATGAAGCGAACCCGATATATGGACAGAAGAATAAAAAAATAACTAAATCATACAAACATATGAGGTGCATTGTACATGGCGGTCGGCTCCTCACCTTTAGCCACGTGCAAGTTTCTACCCACCTCTATCGAATAGGTGGCAATGATCATTTTCTAGTTCAGATCGCCGAAGGATTTCCTCGAAGACTTGATCTGGGGACTTTGAAAACACGACATCGTGAAATAGTGTGTCCACACAGATGCACGCGAAGAACAATTTTATAGAACAAAATGGGATCCATGCAGCGTTTAAGAAGTCGTCGTGACATCTTCCTCCAAATGAACATTTAGATTAAAAAGGAAACAAAAGCAGAGAAGTTAAAATCTGACGTTCGACTCCCAACACTTCGCTTTACAGATACTCAGAGGGATGAGCACACAACATTAATACCAGCTTTTAATTCTGGCAAATTTCCTGAATTTTCACGTGAAATGATACGAGATATACGAACGCTTCGAAGAGGATAATTATCCGTGCAAAATGAAGACGAAGACACGGGACTTGGTAAAGAAATTAAATCAAATTCCTTTCACATCGTATCTTCGGCCTCCTTTTGCATATATGATGTATATGTTCAAATGATTGCGAGATGCGGAGTAACATCTCGTCAAAACTAGGAAATTTTGCACGGGAGATGCGGGGTAACATCTCCGTGCAAATTTCGCGAAGGGTGGGAAGAATAGAAGACCACGGAGTCACCTCCAGCACCCAGCAGGAATTTCAAAATTCCCCTAGCTCGATATCGCCTCTAACTTGAATTTATTTCTGTCAACCCAGCCGATGGTTTGACAGTGAAATAGTCTCCCGACTAAGTACGCACAATTTTCCGAGGATCAATATTCGGAGAATTGGGCGTATTTATCTGGTTGCGTACTTAGGCGAGTCGCTTACTAATTATTGCCCGACAATCGATAGGAGAACCTGGAACTCAATTAACTTTACTAACACAGAGTACGCATTTATATAATCCCATGTTCGTTCCGGTAAACGAATACTTATTGAGGTTCTCCTCTCTTCAGACGAGACATAGCGAAAACCTACCAACAATAATTAATAAACTTTTGAGAGATTCATATATAACTTTTAGATCTCTTCCTCAGTTTAAAACTGATACAACAATTATACAGAAATTAATTACGCAGATCTTCAAAATTTTTTATGACACAACTATTAATTAGGCGAATCACTTCTTAATATTTTGATTTGATTGTAATGTCAAAGAAACCAAAACATCGCTAATAAATGATTCTCAGCCATGTGATATAAGTTGAGCGGCACCAGTATGGGGTGCCACAGCCACAGCAAAAACGTTCAAAAACGGGTGCGTACTTAACCGTTACTTACCTGGGATGCGTACTTGAACGGGAACTTAAACTGGTGCGTACTTAACCGGGAGGCTACTGTACTTTAAGTAAAAATAAATTCAAACATAGTCTTCTGCATATGCAGCAAAAAATCACAAAACTGTAACTTCTGATGATCGAATACCAGCATAGTATTCTTGAATATATAAAACTTAATGTTATACTATGTACATGGACCGCCATAACGGAACAAAATTAACTCCACTGGTAATGGCCAATAGACTTAAGAATATCAACTAGTTTCTTTTACGTACTCGTCAATAATGTCGTCTCAAGATGTATACATGTGCTCAAGCAGATTTCCATGGCATGAAATTCCGGCAGTACCTTCGTTCTGAATTAACCATGTGATCAACTGAGGCATCATCGCGAGCATGTGATTGGGTCTTGTGTCTCACCTTCTGTCCAAAGGGTTTCGTCGACAGCTAAATGGTTCTCACAACTCCAGTAAGGCCTGTAATAATCTCGAGGACAATCCAAGAAGCTCGCAAAAAACTTGTGACATGTCAAAGTCTATCTGCGAAAGTGAGATCTGTTATCCTGGATTGGTTGAGATCTGTTATCCTGTGAGGCCCACGTTCACAAGTTCCAAACATTACTGTGCTAAACTTTACTCAAAGCGCTACTGAAATCCCACGCAAATGGGTGTTGTCAGAACGTGACCCACCTTTCAATGCATATACTTGGGGCGAAACTTAAGTGCTAGACGGGTACTTAGTTCGTGATGTACATTTCCCCCTCGTTTCTTTGCATCTCATGTCATCTCTTCGATTCGCAATCGGGTCGATATCGTATCACGAGGCTACTGTACATTGTACATTGCTTCTACGATACACCGCTTGCAATGGTTACTGTCGTGCTTGATTTAGTCGTTCTAATGATCTCTTCAAAGTGGATCTTGTGCTCTGCAACCGATGCCACTCTTTTACGGGCATATCCGACACTGCTGCAAGCGCCCCAGTTGGAAGCTCATGATTCTTACTAATTCCGCAGCTGCTATCAGTCAATCGGAGACGTTTGTGCAAGGCCCTAAGGTCCACTAGGGGCACCATCGTGGGTCTACCGTGGGCGCACTGCAAACCAGACACAGGAAACAAAACATCAAAACGATTTTTATTGCGAGAAAGGTGGCAAAAGCAGTTTTTTGTTTGTGTTCTTATTTACTATTTGGGAATTTGTGTACCTCTAGAAACGAGGATATATCCAGACACAGCGATTGCATGTCTTTGACTCACCTGGAAGCACAAAGAAGTCTTCTTCAGATGCTCAACAAGCTGTGTGCATTCTACGGGTAAAAGTGTATCGCCGAACATTATAGCACCTGTTTTAACAGTCCGAATGGGCACAAGAAATAAGAACGGGATCAAGATCGGATAGTAGATTGGAAGCTGAACATGCTGATAAACTTGTTAAGTAGCCATACCTCGGCAGGCTTTATTGTTGAGTACTCTTATCACCGCTGGAGGTGGAGCAGACGAACCTTGTGTATCCATGAGCTGTCACACCTCACCAGATTCAGGAGACAAAACTTTCTCGGCTGAGAGAAAACTTGAAATACTAAAAATCTAAACATTAGTCATACACAGAGAATCCTTGATGAAAACTGACTCATTTACAGGAATATTCTACTCAGAAAGTAGTAGATAGAAAAGCGGAAATCTCACAACCAACAAGCACGACTCGGACGTTACCAGAAACTTTGAAGGTAATGACTGATAAAGCACCAAGAAAGTCAACATGTCCGTACCTGCCGCAGGTACTCCATCAGATCTGCCCCTGACAACATCACTCCTAAGATGCAAGGAACCTGGATTGATCGTGGACATCAAATGATCAATCATGAGAAGTATGCATTCCAGGGACTTCATTGCAACACTTTTGAACCAGTTCGATTGTAACAGCAATTCATGGATGTTACTGTCAACTAGTAAGCACTATCAAATATCAGCGATAAAAAATGTAGCCTACCGCAGAGAGTAAAACGGTGCACATTCCCGTGGTAGACGAACCACCCCTAATTATCGGAACATAAGAGGAGCATGTTTGTCAAAGTCTTACTAAAATCCTCCATTCAAGCTTCAGGATGGGTTTCTGAAAACTGTGCAACATACAAGAGTCTAAATATAATTTTCAATATGGCACTCAAGATCCATCTTTATAAAAACAATTAATTGGACATCATAATACGACAACAAACTCGTTTCACAAACATTCACATCAGCGCCACGTGAGTATTAGATTCGTACTCCGTTGTCTCTGATGACTGTATCAGCCGCAATTTGAAACGCCATCCCCAATCTTCAATTTGATCACGGTAAGTTTGAAGCATTTGCTGTTCTGTAAATGCCATCGTCTGAACAAGAAATGGTGAAGCCATGATATGTATTGTAAGATGTCCGACGGTCCCCACCACTAAGGTAAACTCTTTCCTACTTCATCATGCACTGTTAACTGTGGAGGCCAACATAGACCATCGTCCAGAACCACACGAAAGTCTCTCCGTTTTGTAATGAAGTTGAAAGAACGTACATAAAGATTGAAAGAAACTTTATTAGGTACATGAAGAAATTCTTACGATTCTTCATTGATTTGCTCATGTACGACAGACTTCAAGGTTTTGCGAAGTTTACACGCGCAAAGGCAAATAATCATACCCACGTTCGCCTGACGGAAGACATTAAGAAACTTACTAGCTGTTGAGTGCAACTCAGCGGAGAAGCTTGCCCGAACTGACCTGATCCAAGAACCTGTCCAACAATTGGAGACATCAGATAAAGCCCCAAAACGTAGAAAAATAACTTTCACGGTTTCCCTACAGACGAAATCTTACATCATCACGTAGCTCCTCCAAGCGGACGCGCTCATCTGCAGCATGCTGCACTACAAACCGCAACAGGTCAGTCAAAAGACGGGATGACAAATTTGTCTCTCTCTTTCTCGTCAGCAATATGCCCTTTGATGCCTGGCACCTGTTTTTCACCTATATAAGACATATTATTCAATGTCACGACACATATTTGTCTTTTACTTTCTTTCACTATTAATTTTGCCGATGTACCTACAGAAAGAATCCAGTCTTGAGGCAAAAACTTCAAGGCGAACGAGAGAACGAGGCAGGAGTGAGCAAGACATGAGAAATAAACAACTTGTTACATTACAATGATACATTGAATCACAAATTAGAACAAACGACATATTCGATTGCAGTCATATGATTAATCAAGAATCAAAGTTCAGCCACGCACTTGGTCGATTATCAACAAAACACCATCAGCTACCGCTGGGATGAACTTTTTGTCCACTTGCTGCAGTACTCGAGCATGCTGTAAACTCTCCTTTACGATAGACTCGGGGAGGAAGGACATGCTGTTCCAACACAATATTCCTGAAGAGAGATCCAATACGCCTCCATCTTTCGTCATGTAAGAATTCGAAAACTCCTGCCAGATTACGAGAACAAGTTTCCTGTCATGTCTTCTTATGTTGAATAATTCATTACGACATGCGATGGATTTGTAGAATCTTCTGACTAAACTTTTCAAAAGAGAAACATTAAAAGTTCAAAACATCAACAAGAGTATTGGCATGATGGACCTCCCTCCAAAGCGCTACATCTATAGCATCGCTCACAAGAGCAAGTTGGAATGATACATATACATGAAAAAAGTTAGAGGTAACACCTTTAACATATCCTGAATGGCGTCATCTGTATGAGCAGTTTGATCCAGACCTACACTGCCCACATCTGGTAGCACCTTTTGCACTGACGCTGCATCATATGTACGTGAAGCTGAGAAATAGTACGGTCAAGAATTAAACCGAAGTACCAAGTAAGCCTGATAATAAGAGACAAATATAGAAAATAATAACATTCAAGGATACCCGGTCCGGAGCAACCTCCTTCTGTAAGAGGTCTTTCAACGAGATCATCAGCAATGCATGCCTGACCATTCCTGCATGATAACAAGCTGTTAATGAACTGCTCTCAGCTCTATAACCACGATAATTCAAATCTAGGAATGAGAGGAAAATTTAAAAGTTCCACCTTATGCACGAGGCGCTGAAGGATGAGGCTGAAGTAGTGTCCATCGCGCATGTATCATAATGAGAAGTTTGGCATGTGCTCTTCTCACTCCTTTGGGCTGCAGCACTTAGAACTGTAATCGTCATCAATCAATTGATAACATTCAACCATAAACAAAAATAATCAAACATAATCTAGAAATCCATATGTCAATGAAGAAAAATGTATAATCAGGTAGGCAAAATCAATTCCCACCTGCTTCCCTCCTGTTGTGGTCTGACCTTTCCGAAATCTCCACCAGTACCTTCTTAATGGTCGAGAGACTGTTTGGAGGATTGTCATGTATACCACACCTATTTGGTGGTATGTAAAAAGGAGGACCAGACTGACTCCTGCGGTGACGTTTTGATGATATGATACACCATTCTCGCTCAGAGTCATATTTTCTCGTTTCATGCTCTACTGTGTTGCCACTAGGACTGAGAAGTTGAGCTGATTGGCCTGACAAAAACGTTTCCAGCTTTCTCTTCACTCGAGGTCTGCAATAATCGCTCTTCCTACCCGATGCATCTGAAAGGTCTCTATTCCATGACTCCTGCCCCTCACTTCCAATTTTTGATGGATTCCAAGAAAAAATGTTTGTAGCCTGTTGATCGAAATCCTCATGATCCCTCCAATCCTGAGCTTCCAACTTAAAGCGTACGGAACGTTCCGATTTTAGCTCCAAGCGCTCCCCTACTTCCTGTTCCCCTTCTTCCTGTTCCGTTATGCTCATCTGTGTCCTCAATAAGCTGAAGCGAGACGATTCTTCAAGGTGATCAAAATCATTGAGATCAAACCGCTCAAGTCCATTGGTCTCACTACGTGTCAAGCCCTTTCCATGCGTTATGCATTTATCTTCGGGATCACTTCCGCTACACATCCACGCGAAGCTTTCCTGGACTTCTGACCCATCAGGAGAGCGACTCCTGACTTCAGGAAGAAGATCCAAAGAATCAGGTTTACTTGTATAATCGTAGGAGTCGTCACTTCCAGACCACAGGGATGCTCTCATGTTCAAGTCCGGAACTTCCGATGAAGCTCCACCTCTTTCTATATCCATGTTCTCACCTAGTCTACAACTCCTGAACTTGGCAAGCTTCGTGTAAGGAATCAAATCTTGTGATTGCTCTGTCATTCCATCGGCCAGTGTACTCTCGGTATATGACTTGACCAAAAAGGGCCTGGTAGGCGAATGGAGAAAGTCAAAACGTGATCTGATCCTGTCCACCGTGCAAGTAGGTTTCCGTGAGATATTGTCTGGGAAAGGCTCCAACCGCAAGGTCGTCAAGCTATCGCTGTCGCAAGGCGACCTTGGAGCTTCAAAGCAAGGCACAAACACATCAATGTCCTTGGATGATAGTATTGACTTCGACAATGTTTGTGCTTGTCTGCAAGACGCCAAGGTCCATCCCCGCGGGGCCAAGGATTGGTCATCCCTGTGACTGGGACTTTCTGCCAAGAACTTGCCAATGGTCACTCCACCTGTTACGAACGTCCCAGATGACAAGTTTCCTTTATCTGATTCATTTTGAGTAGGTGATGGTCGCTCCCTCTGTTTGCATCTCGACTGCCTTGATCCATGACTAGCGATATCAACACCTTTATGCTCGATAGCACTACCTTTAACGGGGCTGCAACGGTCAGAGAGACCACCCTGAACCAAGGCTCGGCGCACTGACATTGGAGGAATCATATTAGAGGCCGTGTAGAGTGAAGAGCTGGTCTGCTGGCGAACGGTCTTGCTTCTTGAATCAGCCTTTACTGACAGCTCTGGACTTCTTGGTGAAGCATGAAGCGAACCTGAAAATTTACAAGAAGGATGTCAACACGTGCTATTCACAGGACTCGGCTCTTCTAGAACCGAGTTGTGGTAGGAGACAAGCAGCTTATATTTCATAACGTCGACAGCATAGAGAGACAAAGAAGGGAGAATCCTCACACCTCCTTCGAAGACACTCGAAAGGTCTCCCCAAATGCTTCGAAGAATACCTCTCACAAAATCCACGACCGGTTGCCAGTCCTACAATTGCATCAGAATTCAGACAGGCGCATTCACTCAGCGGGTTGAGCAGAGCGGCGAGCTATTGGATTCGTTGATCACGAAACACTGGAACAGTATAGTTAGGGGAAGAAATGTGTATCCCAGGAATCTCTTAGGGTTTTGCAGCCAGAAAAAATGAACCAATTAGAGAAGTAAGGGTATGCATACTATGCGTATTGATAATTTAACAAAGACAACTAGTTACTGAAAGTAACTCAAACAGAAAAACGAAACATGCATTCAAAGCAGAACGACCATGGACATTTCAGATCGTCACTGATGCAGAAAGCAGAACAGAATGCAGCGGACAGAAGAAAAGAGCCAAATATAGATCATGCATCATGGGAGCACATTTATATCGTGTTCTGTGACAGCTTCGATCTGAATGGACAATGATGATACCTGATACACGCATCACCATGTAGGAAATATGTACGACGCAACTACTAAACTTCACAAAAGAAACATGAAGAAAAGTAACGGATTCTCAGCAGCTAAAGACAGCACTTCCTGCTGTCTGTCATTCTCAGTACAGCTGGCAAACAAGAAGTCAAATTTGGCACAAGTGTCACAGTGCAAGAGAAAAAGACAATCACTGCTTTGTGCAGAACAAACGTTACAAACAGGAACTAAATCAGACTCATCTTTGTGTGTGTACCGAACAACAAATGACCTCGAAGTGATTTAGTTGTAAGTAATAAATAGCAATAACTCCAGTCTTCGTGGGATGATTTACCTTAAACTCAACCAGTGTCTTCGAAGCTTCAAATGTGATGTCATATTCCGACAGTGGACAGATCAAGTTAAGCACAAATGCTGGAAACAAGTGTTTGTCGCCAATGCCATCCTGTTTTCCAGTCCCTCTCTTTTCATAGGTCCCACGTTGAGTAGAAGTCACAACCAAAGCTCTGGAATCATTGTTCTTGGATTGAGCCCACGTATTCAGCAGCTTGTGAATGGGTGTTTTTTTGACGAAGCGACGATTTATATCTGACAAGGTTAAGAACCACATGTCCGTTTCTCACACATATGAGCCTGAAGAATCTATAAGACTTTGCGGAGGATCTCTTAATCCAAATAAAGGAGAACGATGAAACAATGTGAGACAAAACTCCCCTATGTATTCCGTTGAGTGCCGATTTTGAGGGGATACAAAAGTACTGCACAGTCTGCACCAAAGGAGGTCTAAGTCACTTGCAAGTACATCACAAAGCAGAAAAGACATGTCTTGCACATATGGTGACAAATCAGCCATAATTTCACGGGGAAGTTTGAAACAAATGAAGCTGTAAGCTGACCTTCGAAGAAAGAGAGTGATAGTTCCTGGAAATGTAGCCGGTAAATCTGAGGCGACCTTGCGAACAATCGACCTCCTTTAGAGAGGCCAGAAAGTCTTTACCAAACATTCCAGAAAGTGTGGTGCCCATAGATGTTGCACTTTTTGAATGTACCGAGACCTCCTGCCTGCATGTTGAGAGATGTAAAGGTTTGGTTTCATCCAAAGGCAACCTTTAAATGTAACGGAAGTACTTCATGGAACTTATCACAAGGGTGGAGGTTATACCTCGCAAGATCAGTAACCTTGAACGAGATCTTCGGGTGCATGAGGACAAAGCGCATTACTCTCTCCTTCACAGATTGCGGAATCTTCCTGTGGATGCATTAGACAAAACCATGTCACATATGAAATGTAAACTATGATACAGGTCACATATATCAAAGTTGGAAGAAATTTTGTAACTGAGAAAGAAAAATATATGACAGGACTGATTCTCTGAGAGCTGAGTATATGCTTCTGTGTTTTGAGCCAGTCTTGCTGAGCTGAGTCAGATCTATTGCACCTTTTGAGCTACTCGGAACGTGAAGGAACCATCCGAGAAGATTGGCAGAGCTACCCGAGAACACTAATAAATTACGGAAGAGGTCATGGTAAAGGAGTGAAATTCCTGCTTCTAAAACAGGAGACAAGGAACACTGTGAACTAGTATATACCTGGTATTCAGAAGCCTTCTTCGAACAGGCTGATTGTAAAACATATCTTTGACAACAACTGTTCACGAGAAGAATGATGACAGTTATCACTAGATCATTTCCACATCCTTCACCAAATAGGATAGCAATTTCTGTTCATGTCTCACATGAGTCAAAACCATCAAAACAAATTTCAATCATTCAAATATGAAGATATTGACGTGACCAGTCATCGCATAGCATGTAGAGAAACTCAAGTCCTAAAGCAGACAATGCACATTTGACCGAGATAAATTCGTGGAATTCAAACAAGAAAATTGATGAGAGAGAAATACAGAATCAAACAGAAGACCAGCTTAGAAGTGTAAGCTCTGAAACATCGGCACCATTCACTTTATCCCATGCAATCTAATAGTCACAATCGGTTCTCAGCTGGAAACCCTCTACAAATTATAAGTATTAAATAGGACACCTGTTGTTCCATGTGATCGTTGCTGGCTGCAGAGACCAATGGAAACAGTCGCGCAGTCCTATTTGACACAACACAACAATAAAGTTATCTTAAACACATGTGCGACGCAAGAGACGTCATGAAGTTACTCATGCTAGTAACAACCCAAATCATAGACTCCTGGTTAAAAGTTTACAGCCCAATCATTGAATCGATTCAAACGGATGATAAAACTCGTAAAAATGAGAGGTTAGAAATCCCTACCTTCAGTATCTTGCGATGAGTATTTGGTGTTCCCCGGCATCTTGATGTAATTTCGACAAGAGCTATATCCGACAGTGAACTCAAGGCCTCCCCTCGAAAACCAAGAGTGCTGACTCCTCTCTCAAGTTCTTCCAGACTCTGTAATTTTGAAGTTGCTACAAAACCGGAACAATTTCCAAGTTTGGTCTTGGACGTACACTGTAGCTTTCGAAAGATAGATGAGTGCAGAGACATAGGAGCTTTACAAGAAGGTAAGGAAGTGGCTGTGTGACATATTTCGGGTTCATATATAAGGTAGATGATTAAGAGTATCATGGTGTCAATGTGAACAAACAAAACTTTAAGGATGAGAATCTACCCCATTTAAGAAAATAAGCGGACCTAAAACAGACCAGCACGTTGAAAACTTCAATTTCTTCATAGACCCAACGGAACGAAAGGGGAATCACTTACCATGTCTTTCACCAACTAGGGTCAAGTCATCTCGCTGGATACCGCAACCTACACAAATTAGAAAGCAGACCGGTGTTATAGTTATGCAGTATTCTTTAGACCTTTTAGATGAAAGGTTCTGTTCCTTCAATCAGATAAATGTTATAGATAGTCCATGCTGTGCTTCCAAACACCTATTGGTGAAACATACCGTCATCGTCTACTTTCATGAAGTAAGCTTCGGCATCCACGTCGACTTGGATCTGATTCAGAGGACAATAGCAGGTCGAGCCATAAAGTCAAGAATCCTGACAGTCATGAAAACCCATGCAACATTCAACAGTGGATGACAAAGTGATGACACAGGGTCAGTTACCGAGTAAACTAAGTAGCAACAACTTCAGGTTTGCGTTGGAACCTGGTGCACGTTTCCAGGTCGACATGCTCCGTGAGCTGAAGTGAATGTAGAAGTTTCAAGTGAACAAAATGGCATTCTGTCTTGAGGCAATTCAATTTTACTTCGACACTGGAATCTCATAAGTCGAAGGGCCATCATATGCTGTTCTTCTCAAGTCCATGGACGTCGTACGGACTGGCCAATGCGCGAATTAAGGGCCAAAAATCCACTTCACCAGTCCATCTTTAGTTCGTGAAAGAAGGATCGAGAACTTGAAAATTGTCCCTTCGATGGCCAGCCCTGGGAATACTGGAGTTCAACTGCACGGGAAGACCCGCGGGAAGTGGTTGATGAATTTTACCTGGGTGGCTCCTGCATCTATGCTGTTGCAGACGAGCTCCTCTGCAATCTGCGCGACATCCAGAAGAACCGTGCTGGATCGCAGACGATTGACGATGGAATCCGAGAGGCGTCGAATCTGCAGCATCTTGGCTCGGTGTGCATTCACGTTGCTCCATCCTCCCGCTGAACGCGCCTCTAGTCTCTCCCTCGGAACGATTTCAACCTTTGTCGTCCCATTCTCCCGTCCGCGACCCAATTGACATGTGAGAACGGCTCGCCCGAGGCGCCCAACGGCCGACTGCGCTCAATCAACCAGCGGCCCACGCCCGCGCCTCGGCACGACCATTGTCGATGCTCTGCGAAAGCCTCTCGTCCGATCATCGACTTCTCTTCCGGAATCGACGCAGAGACGGAAGATATGGCAATGCGGGGTTCGATCGAAATCAATGTATAGTCTGCAGGCAGCCTGTAGTCACAACGTGCCTACGGACAGAGATGCGCTGCCGACATTAATATGCATCGACACATGCCGAGCTCAAGATATAATTGTGCACGTGTTGCAAATCTCGTGAGCGGATTCACTGCCTGCTGCGAATCGCGAATGCTGTGAATCCTTGCGCGGATTCCTCCTCGCGAGGGCCGACCTGCACAGAAAGAGACGCAGGTACGGGTTATTATATCTATATTCGTATTATACTTTCGCGCTCCTGGATCTCCACGTGGTAAGCCTCCACTGTGTCTCTACGCAGTTAATATCTTCGTACTCTCGGTTACAAGTATCTCCGTGGGTACTCTCAGAGTAGTGATATATGTTCCCCATTCCCTTCCGGGAAACGTGCAATGTTTGAATAATATTATTTTACTCGCCCCGAATGGCATGCGTGATGGGCGTGCTCGATATCATTTCGTACGGTTACAAGCGGATAATAACGGAAGCTATATACATAGCTGTGGATGAAGATATTATCATGTGAGTGACTGCACAATATTACATTATACCAAGTGACAGGATCCATCACATCACTTCGTCTATAGTGTAATTTATTCGAGATAACATGTTTACATCTCCTTAGGAAAAGCAATGATCGAGGCTATTGAAAAATCAGATTTGATGTTCTTGTTATTTGTGAACTGTTTGATATCAATAATTCAAACATGATATGTGACATTTTTTAACTTACGAAATATCGATATCTAGTGTCAGTTTTCTTTTTCTCTTGCTGAAATTTTACGAGTCTTATGATATATGACTTTCAACACAATCCATCAAGATGGTATGAAAGTTAATCACAAATTAGTTATTGATAAATAATTTCTTTATAACAAAACACTTAACATTTATATCATATATCATTTATACATTTATATGAAAAGAAGATTTTGGATAATTTATTTAAATTTATTGAAAAAGTTTCAAGAGTGGATCATAATAGACAAATTTATTATACTCATTCGATTTCTTTAAAAGTAAAATTATTGATATTTCAATTTCAATCTAAATTAAAATTTGATATTAAACTTTAAATTTTAAAATATTATTTGTTATTTTCTTGGTTTATGATCAGAAAGATGCACGGAAATCTTACCTTGAAGTTACATAATTACCTAGGTCTGTATAGTGTGATGTATGAAAAAATATGATAACACCAAAACACATGTTTTTATGTTTGAGAAAATACTTTGTATCAAAGCATGATAAAAAACACTTTGTCAACTTTCAAAGTGATGTCAAAGCATCAAAAAATATTAATGTTAATATTTTTTATACTTATATATATATATACATATACATATATATATATACATACATACATCATATAGAATTCTAAACAATAAAAAAATCTTAAATCTTGAATTTCATTGGTTTTTTTGCCCTATTGAGTATGTAAATATGTCAATGTACAAATTTGATGAGTTTGATCTTTGTCGTGCGACTTAGTATCGCCATACATCATACATCGCTGACACGCTCTACTCACAACTCACACATACATACACAAGGAAAGAGAGTGTCCACACACAAAAGTATCACAACTAAAAGGAATGTCAAAACACAAATACACAAAGAGTCGAGCCAAACTCACTACTCGTAGGTAGACTAAAAGTCGAAGCTAAGGGGAAAAACCCCGACGCGTAAGGTTCAACTCGAAGAACTGACAGTTCTTCGAGTTCGCCACGAATATAACCCACGGTCGACGACCTCAACGTGCATGGCGTCCCAACGTGCAGGGCGTCCCAACGTGTACCGCGTCCCAACGTGTATCTACCCTCAAACTCAAATATAATGTGTCTGAACTCACCTCCACACTAACGTCTCGAGCCATGACAGCTGTCGTGCGACTCAGTATCGCCATACATCATACATCGCTGACATGCTCTACTCACAACTCACACATACATACACAAGGAACGAGAGTGTCCACACACAAAAGTATCACAACTCTGTGCTTAGGCCGGGTGCTATGTCGCCCCATCATTAGTCGCCTATCTGCAATTCATAACATGTGAAGATCAAGTCATCTACCCTCTGAAGTACATCGAGGACAAACCCACCGTCTAGTAGGAACAACATCGATAGGTGGAGTCAAGCACGACATGTGCCATCCCCTAAAACACCTATCACACACCAACATATGGGCCGCCTGATCAGTTGACACACATAACATGCACCTTAAGCCGGCACTTACAATCGTCAAGCTTGGGTCCATAGTACCATCCACGTTTGGGAGGTGGCATGGCGCACAATTGCGCACATGATCCTTCCAAACGACACCGTCACGACCCTCCAACATGAGAACTCCAGAAGATAACACATCTCGCACTCGCAAGATAGTACGTCCTGCCGTCACATCCAACGTAGTCGGTGCAGTCTGCTGTAGATAGACGTAGTCTCCCACGCGGAACCTACGAATCGATGGTCGATAACCTCCTCCTCGAATAGTTGCATACCGCAACGTATCCCGGTGCTGAGCAATCGCAAGGTTCTCAAACGCTGCAGGCATAACTCTCCGAAAGAGCACTGCACGTTGAGAACACACTCTCACCCACATATCTGGATCATCAAGGTTCACCTTGCTAGACTCACGACGAATCGCTGCAGGCAAGTCTGGATCTCGGCCGTACAATAGAAAATATGGTGAAAACGAAGCCAAGGATGCTTGACGACTGAATCGATATCCCATGGCCAACCATGGTAACTGAATATCCCAGTCCCCAAGATGCCCCTTCTGTAGTCCAAACTTGCGCAACGCTCTCTTCACCGTCTGTACCATCCGCTCAGCCAAACCATCCGCCTCTGGATGATCTCGGGAAGTAGTCCGGTGATCAATCAACGTCTTGTCACACAAGACCTGAAACTCACCGTGAAACTCTGTCCCCTGATCGGTCAACACCTCACCTGGTGCACCAAAGTGACTAAGCACCCTGTCAAGGAAAGCATATGCTACTCCCTCACTCGTAGGGTTGGAGGCACGGCAAAATTTTTGCGGGCATGCCCGTGCCCCATTTGAAGATCAAAAGGCATGCCCCGTGCCCCCAGGCATGCCCGTATCACAATACGTATAGTTCTAGTATATACTAAATATACACAAATGTAAGTATAATACATGAACATACGTATGATAATTAACTTTAACGAAAATATAATTAATACACAATTAATTATAGTTAATATATACTGTGAGATGCTCTATAACTTATAAAACATTGCATGGTATACATAATATATATATGTGTACACGCCTTTAATTCCTCGGACCCCGGTATGCTCTTCCTGTCCAAATTTTCATGCGACGTGTTCAACTTGAGTGCAAATGCAATGAAGACTATTTTGCTACGTTATGCTCATCAGAACTCAACGGACTTGTAGGATTAGTATTTCTGGTGAAAACTTTTCGATGATGCTATTGGTGCCAAACCCCATCTTCCTCATTTGGTTTCCCTGTATTGCTTATGGGGTCTTACCTTCCTTTATGCTTTAGTCCTTGATATTTAATTTTTGGTCTTCTGAAGTGCAGGAGTAAATAATTACTAGTAGATGTGTACTTATTCAATGAATTAAGATAAACCAACCAACCTGCAAATGATGATCGATAAATCACGGAGATGCAGGACACATGAAACAAGGGCTCGAGGGAGGAGAAATGACAACAATGAAGAGTATGAATACAGCCAACTTTGCCTTTACAACAAGCTGTACAAGACACTGGAATCTAAAAAGTAGTAACCAGTGCGTACTCTACATTACTTTCTTCCTGGATTACACCTACAAGCGTGTCAGAAACTATGTTGTCTCTGAACCTTATCTATCAAAACTGAACATCCCTAATACTATGGATGCGATTCTAAACGCACTACTACTGAAAGAAAATTACTCATAGTAACAATGCAGGAGAAAATCACGTGGCATTATACCAGTTCTTTTCTGATCAATCTCAAAAATATCATCTTCCAAAATATTAAAGCCTGCTCTGTAGCACTTCGATAGTAAGCATAGCAGGAGATAATCGGCGTGAAGTGGTGTAAGATATAGGCAGGAAGGCTGAGATTTGAGAATCGCTGCATACAGTGGTAGAATTGCACAACTAGGCTCCATCATTTGCATTGCCTGATCCTTCAGTCTTTGACAAAGGATATTAACTGTCATCAAGAAGAAACCTTGTTAGTTTAGTACCGTATGGGGGTATAACTGCAATCTTAACAGAAGGCAATAAATTGGAAAAAGTACAGGCTCTCCATAACTTCGTACATTCAGAAAAAAGAAGTGAAGCTTAGGTGTCTACAGCAAAGTTCAACCTCTACAAAAAGTCCACGAGTTTCAACAAAATCAACACCGAGTCTGCCAAGATAACGATTAGCAAATAGTTAGGTTATGTGTTCACTGTATCACAAACCGTTCTAAAATACAAGCTGATATTAATAGAAAACGAAACCTCAAAAATTATCTTCCAGAAAGTCAAGCAGAAACACCTCATCCCGCTATCTTAGTCACTAACAGGCAGATTTGAATACAGTTTCAATTCAATTTAAGTTGAACCAGAGTTTTGCAACTGAATCTTTCTGCCATGCTGCTATAATGTCCACCCTAAGGAGGAATGCTTTTAAAGTTAGCTACAGATAGAGTTTAGTCAGTTAAACAGACTATGGTAGTAAAGTGGTAGAAATATACTGGATAACTTCGAAAGGATTGTGATCCCAACATACATTTGTCAATGGCAAGTCGTATACTGATCTGCTGAACATACAGTAAGAAAATTTGATGCCGCAACTACGAAACTCCCGGCTTGTTCCTTTGATAAAGTGCCTGATGAGTGTGCTTCGCTGCAGTGAACAAAAGCCATATGAGCGGGTTTAATCAACTATAGAAGAGCAAAGACAACTTCTTGTACTGTTTACCATGGTGTAATCACAAATCGGCTAAAAAGCAGTACTAGTGTAGAGACTTAGATCTGAAAGTGGAGGCCACTTGCGATGCGTTTACTGAACACAATGTATTCTTTTCGAAAAAAGATCTAATTTGTGATCAATCAAGCTCGTTTGTCACTTGTAGATCAGACCAAAGAAGCATAAACGAGGATTAAGTCAAGTATAACCCATCTCAGATACTGTATAGTCATCTCACAGTATACAATTCTGAACTAAATAAAACAATGAAAC